CAAATAATTAATAAATTAGTTAATGAATGAAGCGTAAATCTTACTATTATATTTCGTCGTACAGACACATGTATTTGAAATAAGTATTTGCTGCATGATTATGTTATATTTAAGCAGACATTTTCTCACACTCAAAGTGTGTTTTAATTTTATAAACTGTGATAAATTTATATTTAACTGCTTGTTGTCAGATTAAATTCAGTCTTAACATTATATTTATAAAATAACTTATGAGTTATAAACAAAATTGCACTCGAGTTAAATTAAACCAACTTAATAATCTTTTCTTGTTGTTATATAACAAGATTCTATAAATAAGTAGTTTTCTGTATAATATGTGCATATAAATTAAAGTGGAATATATACACTGTTGTCATGAACCTGACGTACCTACATGTGAAATTAAAACGCGTGGTCGTCTCGCCGGTAACCTCATTTATAATTTGTTACCACTGCAATTAACTGTTTGATTAACATAAAAAAAATGATTACCGGGTAGATTTAAAAGAATTAATTCTCATATGGACTTATATTAAAGTACCTATTATACTAGCGGTATACCCTCACTTGGTTCTGGTGCGTCCCTATGTGCCTATCAGTGGTCTATGTAGTAGGGGAGAGGTGGCATGAAAGGGACATTTTTGATATTGAGGCTCTAGAAAGTGATTGAGATAATATTTGGAACTGGTTGAAGTCGAATGGGAAGCCTCTATTATTATACTACTGAAATAAAATGCACTAATTCTCTTTTCTTTATTCTTAGTTATTTAATTCCGCATATTAAAAAATGTGTATTTTGTCCCTTTCAATAATAGCCTGTATTGAAAGGGACACCATAGTTTATGAAAGGGACAGTTCATAATATCAAGGAAAATGACTTTACACTTTGCTACACATGTTCCAAAAATATCAAATATTTGTACAATGACTACTTAGGTATGTTTCAGAATCAAAAAAGTGTCTGGAATTATTATTATTAAGTCATTATTACTTTTTTATATATTATTATTTTATATATATATTATATTATTAATTTTTTTATTCTGAAACATACCTAAGTAGTTATTGTACACACAGGTAGGTACTTCATATTTTTAGAAGATGTGTAGCAAAGTGTAAACTTACTATTTTCATCTTACAGATCAGAATTAAACACGTACATATTATTTAAACAGAAATCAACAATATCATAATCTTCAATTCTTAGACATAAAACAATTATTACCTATTAGATATTCATATCTTAAAATATTGTTGGCTGGCACCGACTTCGAAAATATCTGATTATCTATTCTAAATGAAAACCTCCGTTTAGTTATTTTTTACATTTTAGTGCCTGGAAGTCGGTTTTTTTTTAGTTTTTATTTTTCTATTTGTAGTGTAGACGTAATAAGCAGGTAATTTGTAAAATGAAAGTTTTTTAATAACATATTCGATTAAAAAATTTATTAAAAAAAATATTTATTGTTGTTTTTTTAAAAAACGGCTCAACCGATTGCAATAAATTGTATATGGGACCACCTTGGAAATATACCCTTTGAAACAAAAAAAATTCCAAATCGGTTCAGGTGTCTTCGAGTAATCGGTTAACATACATAAAAAAGGACTCTGACGAATTGAGAACCTCCTCCTTTTTGGAAGTCGGTTAAAAAAGTAATAAACTTAGGTAGTTCTTCTTCATTGGAGGAATATTCGTCAGAGTTTTCGGCAGAACCAGTGGGGGTTGTAAGAGACTGTGGTCGGTATTTACAAAAGAAGATAAAAAAATTCATCTTGACAGCCAATCTGACAGAGATGCTGTTCTATATTACTTCATTCACTGCATCTTCAATTTTGTGTGCATCACACGCGTTCTCTTTTAAGGTGACATTTTTAATCTGTAAGAATAGCAGTTGTGAAACGTCCCGTTCATAACCGTTTGTTGTGTCCCTTTCATAAATATCATACCGAAATTGAAAACATAACCACAAAATTTGAAATTTTAGATTAAAATGTACTGACTTTTTGTTCTCGTATCTGTTGATCTCTAGCTGATCATAAACAGTGGATGACAAATAAATAAATAACACGCAGCACTTGGCAAAACGTTTCGCTATTATAACAGAAAAAATACTTTTCAATGTCAATAAAAACTTTGAAATGACAGCAGTGTGAAGGTAGTCGCGAACGAAAGCTTATCAGGACTGTCATACGACATATATAGTGTTGACCCGAAATTGTTTTTATTTTGCCAGTTATTTAAATCGTCCCTTTCAATACGTGTCCCTTTCATACCACTTCTACCCTACTCCAAGTTATAGTCTTTCTGTGTACACTAAATTTCATCGAAATCCGTCCAGCCGTTACAATGTAAAGGAGAAACAAACGAAACGAAACACATACAAACTTTCGCATTTATAAGAATAGTCCGGTGATACAGTACGGGGATCGAATTTGTAATAGCTAATGCAAAGGCATTCTATAGCCACTGGTCCATACGGTTGATAAATATTTATATTGTAGGAACTAAAAGGAACCATTTTTAAAATTAGTATTTCTACTTTCTAAAAAAACAAAAACAAATCTATCTCACGGGAACCGTACATTTTTCCGGGATATAAAGTCGCCTATGTGTTATTCTGATGTATGGCGTTATATTAAAGTTTCACCAAAATCCATACAGTAGTTTTTGCGTGAAAGAGTAATAAACATCCATACAACTATCTATCTATACATCGAGACATCCATACATGCTCACAAAATTTCGCATTTATAAGATTAATAGGATTACGCAACACTCAATTTTTAGGTATTTTTTTCTCAATTATTAATTATTATTGGTGTTGTAACATATTATGATAGCAAACTCATTCATGTAATTATTATACATATTATGTATTACACATAATATGCCAGCGTACCGAGAATCTGCAGATTTTTCCTTATCGAACGGTTGTTTTATGGCTGAATAATATTCAGCACATTTACTCATAATGTAATTTAATACCCGTATAAAAAAAACCTTTTCATATGAGAATACTTTTAATGTATATTTATATAACCACTAGCAGAACCCGCGGCTTCTCTCGCGCTAAAACTACAAAAAATCTCTAAAAAGAGATTTCATACAAACTTTCATGCCCTACTTTACCCCCTTTGGGATGAATTTCGAAAAATGCTAAAACACGTATTTATTAATTTTATTGAAAAGTATTAATACCAAGTTTCAAGTAATTCTCATCATAAATATTTTTTTGGATTGTATTATAACGTGTTTTCCCATGGGAATTAGATAATCTCCCGCGGTAAAACCTATGTCACTCTCCAGCCCCCCAACTATCTCCACACAAAAAATCACGTCAATCCGTCACTCCGTTTCGATGTAAAACAAGGACAAACAAACACACTTTCACATTTATAATATTAGTATAGATTTGTAATTGAACACTTATAAGAGGTTAGTGAAAGCTTAGGTATTTACATTTGAAGTTCAAGAATACTTAGGTACAGTAGAAGTACTTTATTGCTCTTCAAATAAGTAACTTTACTATCTATACCTATTCTATATAAAGTTGTGTAAGCTTTTGAGCTTTGAGTCATGGTGACCTAATATTTTTTCATTATCGTACGCTTTCATTGCGAGACAATGACATTAGCCACTCAGCCTCCTGCTTAGTTGATAGTTTTATTAATATCTACATAAAAAAGTCGCGAGGTCAGAATGTTACATATTTTTTACGCGATAAATAGAATATTTAGGATACTCATCTAATAGAAACCACATCTTAGAATATTATTGATTTTTGTTTGTCTCTCTAGAATTGTTGAATAGATAAGATTATGAAGTGGGAACTCAGGCTATATAGTTTTTGCTATAATAAAAAAATGAATTTGTTGGTTTTTTGTTTATTCGAACAAAGTAGGTTCACGTTATGAACTTTTGGGGTGATTAAATAAAATTCGCGAGCAAAGCCGCAGGCAAAAGCATACACGCTACATCCTGTTGATAATTTTGCTTCTCTCATATCAAATATGTATTATAAAATTATAATTAATCATTCAATTTGTTTATTTATTCACGAGTTCTTTCTATTCTTCTGTTTATTTAAGATCCTCATTTACATATACACACACACACACACACATATATATATATATATATATATATATATATATATATATATATATATATATATATATATATATATATATATATATAATATGTAGTATGTACATATATGTATAATTAATTTTTCACTCAGTGTTAATAGGTACTTGAGTATTAACTCCGAAAAAATCCTGTGAGTTATTACGTATGGTATTGGTAGTATAAAACCCAGTGACTCATTAATCTCATTCACATTATATTCATAATCTGGATTGGCACTAATCCCTGGCCGCTTATGGTGAATCCTAATAACATTTATATGTGATTCTTCTGACTAGAGATTTGTCTGACTTTAATTAGTATAAAGCCCATTTCAAATGTCTATCTCTAGTAAGGAAAACCATTGGATATATAGGTTATTTGTCCATCAGTCGATTTCGGCACCGAATATTTTTATTGATCAAATACAGTTTGTTCTGGATGTGTTGGATACCGACATTAAACAGTCTTTTATTGGTTGAAATAGATTCAGAACTATAAACTAACGCTCACCTGTGGCTTAGCTCGCGTGTTATAACATAAAAAATAGTATTTGTTTACTCACATGAATAGATACTCTATCCGCTAGTGAATATTTCAGGGATAAAAGAGCCACAATTAAACGCGTCTATTAGTAAGAGTCTATAGCCTTCCTCTAGTTACTATCAGTTTAGACGTACAAGACACATACATACATACATGTATACAAATACACAGTCAGACTTTTTTAATGGTTGTTTTAACTTGGGCATCGTACAAATAATTATATACACGCAGTATGCATTAGCTGTTTAATTAATATCGCAAACATTTTATTTATAAAGAAGGTAAACTTTATAATAACTTTAAACTAAATATTAATATTTGTTTTTAGGCCCTGGCTCACACCCTACAAGGTCTGGGTCAGGATGAGGGCATGTACCAGCAGTACATCCCTCTCGCTCTGCACCTCGCTGATGAGTTCTTCCTCACCCACCCCTCGAGGGACGTGCAGTTGCTCATCGCATGTTGTATTGCTGATGTCCTCAGGGTGTATGCTCCGGAAGCACCGTACAAGGATCAAGAACAGGTATGATGAGTAAAGATGGAAATCCATGTTATACATTTATAGTTATACTATAAATGTATATAAAGTTATAAACATATGTATATTTCTTTTTTATTATTTTACTAATGCTGTTGACTATATTCACTTAAAGTTTTTCATGATTTTGTCAGCAAGTGTGTAAGTACCTCGATGGCGTATATGCTCTTGTAATTTTCAGGTATGCCAGCAAACGAATTACATGAAGTTTCCCATGCACATACATATGTATATACATCCTGATATAAAGTGTTCCATTTACTTGCACGTGTCATTATTTGGCATGCTAGCTACTTGAACGATTCAATTGCATGGGTTTTCCCGCCTTAATAATAATATATTTTGTAGGCTATATTTTTTAATTGAACGCTAATGGTGATCGAAATTCGTTGAACATTCGTACATATTTTTTTTAATATTGATTTTCGCTGTCTACGATTATTTAAAACATTAAGTCACAAACGTTTGGTGTATGAATGCTGTTTCTATAGCCAAGAGGTTAGAGTTCGTTTGGGGCATCTTTTTATGCAATACAAGTGTTAGATCCATGATAAGCTTGTTGAGTTTCTAGCGTTTTTTCATTTATTTATTATATAGGAAGCCAACATAGTACACAGTGCTTTTGATCTTTTATACATAATAATTTCTTATGAAATATTTTTTTACACTATACACCACACTTATAGGCTAACTTAACATGCGTAAACTAGCTAGCTGTTCCGAAACTTATACTACGTATCTATCCTATTAAAAATAAAATACTTAATAGAAGTGTAAAAAGTAAAGTTAAAAAAACAATAAACAATTAAAAAAACATGCATAAAAAATTACAAAAAAATATATACTTAAAAAAATATGTGAAGGTAATTATATATAATTTATTTATAAATGTTTATAGGTATATTTTAATTTTTTATTTCTATTTGAAATATTGAATTACTTGAAAATTCACATTTTGTCGATATATCGTGGACTTTGGCTTGCTGGGTTCTATTTGAAGACTTTTAGAAATGTTTTTTTTTTATGAAATGGTCATCGATCGTCATAGATCGTTGTAGATAGTTTTGTAATGGCATCATTTTTGATACCCATTAATTGTTTATTGTTCGATTCCCATGCAAGGACAATTATTTGTCACGCATGCCAAAATGTATATAGAATATCTATAGATGTAAATCAAGTATCAGTAGTATGCCAATATCTATAGTTGCGATTTAGTTGACAAAGATCTCGTGAAATATTGGAGAAAAACTGGAACTACTTGAAAAAAAAAATTATACCAATATTATCAATCATAAATCAGTACCTATATTAGCCAGGTATAAAGTTCCATTACAATCAGTTAAGCCGTTATATTCTATCCTTTATCCTAAACAGAAAAACTGGTACACAATTTTGTTACCGTTATTTGACGTTTGGTTTCGTATAAATAACCATATATATGAGCACAATATAGGGTGGCTATTTTCAAATCACAGACAACACTCGCAATAACAAGTAAATATTTATATTATACAAAGGAAATACACACTTTCTTGTTGTTCTGAAACTATTTTAACGATATTAGATTTGTAAAATATCATGTTTATTACTTTTAAGTAAGACAATTTCTCTTAGCAATTCTAAAATTGTATCCAATGATTTTTTTAATAATAATAAATATTTGGGACATTAACACACAGCACCATCCAGTTCCATGGTAAGCTACGAGGCTTTAGTTATGGGTACCAGATAGTTGATGTACTACACATATATAACTTTAAATACATGCATATTATAAATATAAATACCCATCACTACAGTAGAAACATTTGTGCTCATTACACAAATTAATGCCAGCGGGTCTCGAACCCGCGACTGCTGGCACAGCAAGTAGTTGTTGTTAGGTGTTGTAACTTTGTATTTTTAATTAAATATTTTAACTATTTATTAATATAATATTGTTGTTAGAAAATCAGAAAGCAGAAATAATGAAATAACTTCCCACATAGTTTTCTACGTTTAGCACCTACTGCCTTCACTCATAACATGATAAACACTTCTTGTTCACATTTCATCTATATTTATCCACTCATATGAGATATTTCTTCTTTACGTTTTCTAATCGGACCACTATAATTGCGAAAGATTGTATGTATTTATACGTGTATGTGCGTTTTTGTTAATTCGCACTGAACAGCTGGACTGATTTTGATGAAATTAGTACACGGATAGATTACAACCTGGAGTAGCACTATAATTATTTGGCAATTGGATACTTTTTGGCAAGTCGCTAGTTGAATTAAAATAGTAATGTTTTGTAAAATTTTCTAAATTTTGTTGATAGGTAAGAAATTTGGTGTTCGATTATCCGATAGGACATGTTTATTAAGTGTCAAGATTTTATTGGTTTATACTGTACTAGCGTAGCCTAGTCTAGTCGTCTCGTTCGGGTTCGTCCCTAACTTGATTATACAAACTTTTGTCCCCATTTTCACCCTCTTAAATGATGATTTCTGTGTTAAAAATTATCCCATGTCCTTAACAGGGTCTCAAACTACTTTTTACCAAATTTAATCTAAATGGGTTCAGTAGATCCAGAGATCACCCCCTACAACGTCACAAACTCAAAAACTTTACCTCTTTATAATATAGGTACTGTATTAATGTTATTGAAACTGAAATTGATTATATAATAAGTTTTCTGTCTATTCTTACTGATATTCTAAATTCGAAAGCGTTTTGGTCGGTTTATTGGTTAGTCCTTCTTTTATGCAACAATGCGGATGCCAGCAATAGTTTGATGTAGTTTTTAGGGTTCCGTAGGGCGCCAACGGGACCTTATTACTAAGCCTCTGCTGCGTTCAGCCGGCTGTCTGTCAGTGAGCTGTATCTCATGAACCGTAATAGGCGGAGTTGAAATTTTCACAGATTGTGTATCTCTATTGCCGCTATAACGACAAATAATAAAAAAATCAAGATGGAAACTCTCAATGCAAATTAAAAACAATCGATTATGCTGGTATTGGTTAGCATATTTAAAACTAATTCTTGTACGATGGTACGGAGCCTTTCGTGTGCAAGTCCGACTCGTTTGCATAAAGATAACTAATGTTAGATTAGAGAGGTTGCTTTCAACATGCTTTCATTAGCGTCACTTGTAACTATCTAATCAAATTTTGAAAATCAATTTCAACCTGTGTCTGACTATCGTATCGATTTAAGGATTGGTAAGTGAAATATATGTATGAAGATTTGACGGTGGTACCTAAATATCTATATTCTATACTGATATTATAAAGAGGAAAGATTTTTTGTTTGTTTGCTTGCTTGCACCAAATAAGCTCCGAAACTACTAGACCGATTTAGATGAAATTTGGTAAGAAGATAGTTTGAAACCCTGGGAAGGATATATGATAGTTTTTATCCTCGAAATCATCCCTTAAGGGGGTGAAAATGGATATGACATTTTGTATGGGAAATTAACCGGGTGAGTCGTTCGTAATAAATTTAATCCAACTTTATAAGTTGTTTGTATAAGAGAAGATATGTAATCATTCTTTTCTAAAATTTTCTCCACTTAATAGCCATATTTATTTCACATAATTTTTTTAGTGATTTTTCAAATATATGTATTGTATAATGTATGTGTACTAGACAGATATTTCAAAATATGCGAATCGTTAAGATAATTTTACATATAAATCTACTTCTCTTCTAGGTAAAAACAATATTCTTGTTCCTCATCAACCAACTCCAGGGTCTTCGGGACCCCAAGGACCCAGCGTTCAAGCGGTATTTCTACCTGCTGGAAAACTTGGCCTACGTCAAATCATTCAATATGTGTTTCGAATTAGAAGACTGCCAAGAGATATTTTGTGCGCTATTCTCACTTATGTTCAGGATTGTCAAGTAAGTTTGATTTAGTTTTAGTAATTATTTACTTAACACCTCCAGGTAAATTTCTAAGAAATAAATAAAATTTCTAAGAAATCTATTGTTAACTGTAACGTCGGCGTGTCCGCGGTCGTGGAGGGATTAATAAAGTTTTAAAAATGACAGACATACGGATAATATACAAACTTAACAGCTGTATCTAGAAACATTAAAATCTACACTAAAGTTTCTTCGCAGTTTTAAATAATATTTTTTTTTGGATATTTTTACGTTTTATTTTAAGTCGAGAGAGTCTTCCAAGACCATATTTGCTGGATACCATCCAAAACAAAAAAAAAACGTATAGCTATTTTATTTTGACGTCAAATATCGCATTATAGATTGATGTGAATATGTAATAAAGTTTTATAGATAAGATAAGATGAAAGTTTGTATGACAGTACGTCGTTTTTAAGTTAAAAACTGGAAAATGGATCTGTTTATATTGCTGATGGGAAATCCCAACGAGTTCACTGATAGATATAATTATAAAAGATTATTGATATGGATCATAATATGGTAGCATACCTAATGCCTTTTAGATACCGGTGGTAGTGGGTTCATTGCGTTTGGTTTTCCGGAGGGAAAACAGATAAAGTAATCGTACGTTTTAGATTTTTAATTTGAGGTTTATGTTATGTACAAGTATCGCCACCTTTGGCAAATTTTATTACTAACAGTGGCTTATACGTGTAATGTGATACAACAAGTTCATTGTCATCTGTGTACAAGTTTCATCCAAATCCGTCCGGCTTTTTCAACATAAATGAGTAATAAATATATGTGATGTAATAATGTTCTCCCGATCGATTCCGGCCGCGGCGGCCAATGTCATTGAGACTAGCCAACTGCACAGGAGATATATTATAGTGCAGCGCGTGTACGCGCAGACACAAGTACACTCTGTATTCCTGTCACTCTCATACTCCGGTGGGACGACTATTCGACACGACCGGTGAGAGTTAAGACGCAGGACCCGACGGCTTTACGTGCTTTCCAAAGCACGGTGGTGAAACACCGCCAACTTCCCAACTCCCGGCTTATTGAGGCTTACTAAACAGAGACTCAATAACTTGACCCGACCTGGGACTCGAACCCTTGACCTCCGGATGTGCAGCCGTACATGCTAGCCACTACACCACCGAGGCAGTTAATAAACATAGTATGTATGTGTGTATATACATATATATATATATATAACAACAAACTTTCGCTTTTATAATAGTATATATACTGAATATAACAAGGGATTATTACACGCGATGCTATTATTATTATTAAACAAAAGAAAAATTAAATGTTTAATTAATCTAATTAAAACTGCACGGCTTTGGGAAATTGTACTCATGGTCTCGATACGCAGAAATAGGCGGATGGATGATGTCTATCAAATACATGAATATTTGATCGGTTTACACATCAAAGTGTACATTTCCTTTTATTTTTTTATTGTAACTCTTAAAGAATATCCACTACTCCATAATATGTATTAAGTTTCACTCAACTGGTTTGTTTTTCGGGTCAGGTGTTACCATTAACTTTAAACAATAAATTTGCAACCATCAAGATCTTATTGTAAGATAATCTTACACGGTTAAATAAATAACCTTTTTTTATTCTTATTTTAATGAAGGACCATTAAAATATTAAATAAAAAAAATATATGACCTTTATAATTTTGTGAAGATTCAATTATGTTTGTTCGAGAACATAACAGCGGCGTCGGAAAATCGATTATGTTACAAGTGCAATACAATATAACAAGTTCGTTCGGTTCAAAACATATCGAAAACTCGATTAATATTTAAGTGGATGTATGTAGTAGACGACTGCAGTCAATAATTGAGCTTTTATTGATGTTGTTATAGCATAGATATACGAGGTCTTTATACTAGGGTTATTTTTGTTAGTTAAATATTTTTTGGTAATGCGAAAACGATTCGATCGATTTTGTTATGATGAATAGTTACGAATTATCATTTTGGATTTCGCGGGTTCGATTCTCGTATGAGGCATATAGTGACACAGGTGTTAGTTAAACAATCAATGTACATATAAACACCTATACATATAATTAAATTATAATTGAGTTGAATCTGTACATTAAATATTTTTTGGAAAATCTTATCTCATCTTATCAATTTTAACGCATTACGGAAAAAACACTAGAGGGATTTTAATGAAATTTTTGGTATGACGATAGCTGGTTATTCGGGTCAACATATAGGATACTTTTTACTGCGTGAAAATATATCTCTAGGAAATGTATACTAAACGTTAAAACGTACGTAGGGAGGGGCCCGAGCGGAGCGAGCGTGTGTCGCTAGTGTTTAAATAAAATCCGGTATACACTATATCTGAAGTGAAGCGAGAAGCCATTAATTTTCTATGTATTCCGCAAAGGATATTAAAGCTTTTATATAACATAAAATGTTATTTTTTAAATTACTATGCAGAACGACTGCGACAGTAATAATAGTTGCCGAAAGAAGTAGATCGATATTGACTTTCTATGCAGTTAAAAAGAATGAGTATGCTAAAATAACAATGGCAAAGTAAAAAATTAAAAAAATAAAAGATGGTATTCTTAGTACCTTAGTATCTTATTTAAAAAACACTGGTTCGACTCCAGGATGTTGAAATATTTGTCCAAGATTACACCGGGTGTTTAACTATTACCTTTCTATAATATATGTACTTGATTAAGGATCGAGTTAAGACGTCACATGAATATAAGATAGTATTTAATAGAGTTTGTCATTAATATGAAAAATTGGCTTTTGATGAAATTCATTTTGGAGGTAAAATTTTCTTTTTAACATTTAAGCCCATTTATTCAGCAATTTAATTGATAGATTTTAAATTGTTTTTTATTACTTTTAATTATTTCCAAAAATATGCTAAAATTGATATCTACTGACCTACAAAAGATACTTGAGAACATATCTTTAAAAATTCTATAAAGAAAATATATAAAAGAAAAGAATTTTATAGTAGAGTTTCAGTTTTTGTAATGGCCTATTTAATTGATATGATTTCTTCCATTATAATTAGACATTTCAAATTATAACTCATTTTTCAATGAATTTTATTTTTTAACCCCCGACGCAAAAACGACGAGGTGTTATAAGTTTGACGTGTCTGTGTGTGACATCGTAGCTCCCGAACGGATGAACCGATTTTGATTTTGTTTTTTTTTGTTTGAAAGGTGAATTAGTCGGGGGTATTCTTAGCTATGTTTGATGAAAATCGGTCCAAGATGGCCGCCGTCACAAAATAACGTATATATTTTTTTTCACAACTCCCCCAATTATAGGAGTATCAAATGAAAGGGCTTGACTAGCAGAATACCATGAACGAATTAACCACTGGACCAGACATATAAGCGGACGTACCTTTAACGGTCATGTCAGTAACCAGGGAATTTTAGCCTAGGTCGTTTGTTTTTTGTGTCAGTCTCAAGCACTTACTTGTCAACAAAACATCTCCCAAAAATGACTAAATGTTCTGTTAAATGGTGTAAAAACTATAACGGCGGAAGCAGCACTATTTCTTTTCACTTGTAAATACATGATTTTATTACATTTATTGTTATTTATCACAAAATTTAATTAAATGTAAAATAAAATGTCATATTATCCAACTATGTTAAATATAGTCGATATTTCTATGTATTGTTGACATCTGACAACCATCATAAACGGGTTGGATTATACCATTCAGAACAAATGACAAAACTGTCGAGTGAGTCCATTTGACATCGACTAGTGCTTGACAATGTCGAAAAATATATCGATATTTGACGAAATAACTGAACGAATTGTGTTATTTGTACAGTACAATAACATAAAATACTTTTATCACAGTATCCTACAATCTGATGACAATAAATTTATAAAAATATTTTCTAAATCAAATAAGAATATAAATGCAAAAAATATAATTAGCATGTGTACTTATTTTTTTATTTTATTTGATACCACATTTATATACTTGGGAATATTATTCCATTGTAATAATAATAAAGATCATTTTATTTCAACACATAAATTACACAAACTCAAACAATAATGTTTTAGCACTAAACTTCTGGGTTGGTGATTTGTAATGAAACACTTTACCACTTGCACTAATTATTTTACTTTCACGATCCAACACTCACTTTTTCACAATTTGCAATCACTTTTTCTTTTTCCTAATTTCACAAATGTTTATTAATAACTGAGCAATATTAGGACAGTGTCACATTTTTATAACTACCCGAGACAATCAATTGCCAATTAAAATAGTTCAATAACAGAATCAACAAAATCACTTTATTTAATTAAATTAGCTTAATATTTTTTTAATCTTTACAAAATAATATTTATTATATATTAATGGAATATACACCCGATATTCATTTGTTTATTAACATTATTATAGGCCGACAGAATGTTGCCATCAATGCCATCGTATTTATATAAATCAAATTAAAAAATAATTATTATTTAACACATTATTATTGCCTCTTTAATTCATTTATTTTAATTTATTATAATAAATACAGATATTTTAAATTAAAAGATGTAAAATATGATGACTATGCTAACCAATGTCTAAAATGTCATTCATTGGTTCGTCGATATATGTATTTTATCGATTACGTTCAAGCAATAGAAATATTGTATTGTGTATCAGTGTTTATAATAATGTAATAAAATCTTTGTGTGCGTTATGCGTCACTTGGTTGAACTAGTTTTCATACATTTGTATTTTATGTCAGGTCCAGTCTCTAATTCGTCCATGCAGAATACTATTCACTATGATAAATTTTAAATCCAAGATGGTCGCCACCACAAAATGACGAATTACATGTCGGGGGTTTTTTTTAAGTTTTAATTTAATTTAGTAATTGTGATTTAAATAGTAATAATTTTTATTCCATAGTACGGAACACTCGTCAAAAGTGAAATCCTTCATGCTTGACGTGCTCTGTCCACTCATAACCGAGTCGGATGTCGTTTCCAATGAACTACTGAATGTGATCCTCGTGAATCTCGTGGATCCCAACAAACGTGACCACAAACACGCGTACGCGCTGGCCAAAGAGCTGATAGTGAAGACCAGTGAGACATTGGAACCGTATATACAGGCTGTAAGTTGTTGGTGTTTTTTTTTAATTATCGTGTTCTAGCTTAAATAAAACTAATAGATCAAAATTTGAGGAGCCTGAGCTTTAGTACTGAAAAGCTAAATAAAAATAAACTTTACTTTCTCTATAGACTCGTTCTTCAAGTCAACAATAATATTTTTAAAATTTGTCATGTGATTTGTTTGTATGTTATTTTACATATATTTATTTAAGGTAATTAATAATAAATGTTTATTTTTTCAGTTCTTTAATCATGTAATAATTCTCGGAAAGGAAGAGAAGAATCTTCTAATATTTTCTAAAGTATATGAATTAATATACGAACTGAATCAATGTTGCCCGTCAGTTTTACTGTCAGTGTTGCCACAATTAGAGTGTAAATTGAAATCAGCTCATTTCCAAGAGCGATTGAGTGCGGTAGCATTACTTGCTAGAATGTTCTCAGAACCGGGCTCTGACTTAGCGAAACAGTACCCGGCGTTATGGCGAGCTTTCTTAGGTCGTTTCAACGATATATCCGTACAGATTAGAATCAAATGTGTCCAATATTGTATGCATTTTCTCGTACACCACCCGGATCTTAGGAAAGATATAACGGAAACGCTAAAAATGAGACAGCACGATGCTCACGAACAAGTACGCTATGAGGTCGTTATGGCAATAATAGCGACCGCCCAAAGAGATTTTCAAGCGGTTGCCGAATCAGAAGATCTTCTACATTTCGTCAGAGAAAGGACGTTGGATAAAAAGTTCAAAATTCGCAAAGAAGCTATGTCAGGGTTAGCTATGATATACAAGAAGTTCTTAACAGAAGAAAGCGTACCGCCGGCCACGGAAAAAGCAGTACAGTGGATAAAAGACAAAATCCTACACGGGTACTATATGACGGCCCTAGAAGATAGATTATTGGTAGAAAGACTGTTAAACACGTCATTGGTCCCGTACACATTGCCTCCCCAAGTGAGGATGAAAAAGTTGTTCTATTTAATGTCGAATGTGGACGATAATGCGACGAAAGCGTTCATAGAACTTCAAAAACACCAGTTGGCCGTTCGTCGTACTGTCGCGGAATGGATAGAATTGCACAGAAAACCCCCGACTCCTGCTGTCCAAAAGGAAATGATAGCTAAAGTGTTACACATTAGTTCAAAGTTTCTACCTGAATCTGTGAAGGCTCAAGAGTTTTTGAATAAATTCTCAAATCATATGAAAAAAGCGCCGGAATTGTTACAAGGAATGGAGACTATATTGAATCCAAATGTCAGTTGCGAAGTGTGCGTTCGCACTACAGTGAGTAATACGCTTTATTTTATTCTCAAATTATATGAAACTTAAATAAGGGTATATGCACATCTTGGTTAATAAACGTACTGAGCATATTTTAATCTGAATTAAAAGAAAATCGCGCTAATAAAAATGCGCGATAAGCATGCGTTGACAGCGTCCACCGTGTCGGTAATACCGCGAAAAACTGGTTGTGTGTATAGTGCCTAATAAAAAAAAAATATTTTGCGCTTAGATTTCACGATTTTATACAAAAGTAGTAAATATGTTCCTTATTAAAAATATATTTCCTTGAAACTTTTTAAAGCTATATGCAACAGTTGATTAAAAGAGGTTGACTGTGATTGATTCTCCTATGAACGTATTGTACTATAATTGATCACCTTGGCTCGATGCCTCTCATCCATCGTAAAAACCATGTATTCATTTAATTGATTTAAATAATTTATTCAGCTAAGATACTAATTTATTGATTTATGATGACAGATTTAGTGATATACTCCTGTTAATATATTATTTTAAATTATTTTTATAAGAATAATGCTACATTAATTTCTCAAGAATAAATCGAAAATATTTCTTTTTCAGTCAAATGTCTTAAAGAAACTGGGTCAGCCAGTAATGACAAACCTATACTACAACACAGTGAAGATGCTTCTAGAAAGAGTGAGCTCGGTTATGGTGGACCACGACTCGTTACTTATACTAGTGGGGTATGTGGAAGGAGCAGTGAAAGGCACCGATCCATCTATTGCTGAGGAATGTGGTGAGTGCCCTATAGTGTAATATTTCATTACACTATGACACATAACATCATGATCACTACAGTCTACACTATGTTACAATAAATAAGCTATTTATTCTGCCATGTGAGACCTGTCATTATTAGGACTACTAGCTTATTGGATTATAATGACTACTTTATTAGGCTTTAGATTGCAGAGTCTTGAGTTAAGGCCAAAATTATTAATGAATAACTTAAAACCTAAAATATTTAAAACTAGACAGCTTTTGTAACATCTTATTTAGCCCGAGCCATTGCAACATAACGTTGCAATCGCTCAATTGCAACATTTACATAATTAATGGTCCCAAACTACTACAATATTAATAGTAAATATCGAAGAAGATAAAAACGTCACAATAATAAGAACATTTCTTGATATTCAAAATATAAATCTTTTAAATTCAATTCAGGTCAGTCTATTTTTAAAGACTTTTTCCGTAAAACGGATAATATATGAGAGATTAACCGTTAGAAAAAATAAAAATAGGCAATAGTCATGGAGACTGCAGACAGAAGTGAAAACTTATAAATTTGGAATCACTACTTTTTTAATTTTTAAATAATTAAACTTTCATAATTTGTAAATTAAAATTATTATAAGTCTTATGTTAACATCCATTGGCACTACGAGCAATAATAATTATTTACATTTTATCAATCAAAATATGACGCTGTGCGTCGCCAGTCTGCGTGTACACTTTACATGTCACACGTAGCATGTCGGTGATCCGAAACCATAAGTTTTGTCCCTACCAAAAATCGCTCGTTGCGGCTAAGTTTTCACTTCAATAATACCAAATGAATCTCCTCAATATTTCCAGGTATCGACATAAAGAAAGCAGCGGAGCGAGGTCTCAAGCTGCTGGTGATGCTGTCGTTCGTGTTCCCCGCGCACTTCCTGCACGAGGACGTGCTGCACCGCCTCACCTGCCTGCTGGAGATGGACGACGAGACCGTCGCGCCCCACATACTGGCCGCACTCACGTTCCTGGGGAAATATAGGCCGTTGAGTGAGTTATTTTGTGGATATATTTATTTACTAGTGACTCACGCTCGCTTCGCTCGGGTTCGTTCCTAGGTTGATTCCCCATACAAACTTTCATCCCCATTTTCACTCCCCTCAAGGGATGATTTCCGGGATAAAAAGTATCTTATGTCAGTCCCAGGGTCTCAAACTATTTTTTTACCAAATTTCATCTAAACTAGTTCAGTAGATCCAGAGATTATCCTCGACAACGTCACAAACTCACAAACTCAAAATCTCACAAACTTTCCCTCTTTTAATATTAGTAAAGATTTATTACATAGGTCGCTGACAGAGCATACATACATTCTTACAATTGTAAATGTTAATAAACAAAAGAAGATCTAGACTAAATGATGCCCTAATTATAAGCAACACTGCATTCTAATATGACAACAACATAATAACTTAATTAAAAATAAAATAAAAGTTAAGTGTGTACTCAAACAAAAACATACATTGTAATATTGTTATATACTGCTATATACATATACAAGGTTTTATATAAAAGTCTCTTACTCTGTTAAGCATGTTTTTTTTGTTTTTTTTTGTATACTATAGCTTACATCGTTATATATTTGGAAAAAAATGTTCGCAAAAAAATAAAATTGAGAATAATTAAAAAAAAATCATACAGATACGGATACTTTAAATGTCCACCATTTATTATTATTATAGACTTTGGCGTCATAATCGGTCTGACCAATGGCGTTGCGTTTCAGCTACTTTGAATTTACTTACCTATTTTTGAATTTTTCATGAATTATTTTCGCAATCAAAAAGAAATTACATTAAAAATATTGATACAGGTTTAAGTCAGGAGCAATAAAGATAATAAAAAAATATTTCACTTTTATTTAAATCACACGCATTATAAAAATGAAATGGTTTTATTCTATTTTAATAGTACACTGGAAAAATTTAAAATCTTATAATATGATATTTGTTACAGGTGAAGCGTGTCCCGCATTGTTCCCTAAACTGATAACGCTGTGTAAAGCGTATGCTGAAGTCGGTACACCCAAACAAGCCAAGAACGCTGTTAGGTAAAGTATATGACACTTATAAATAAGAAATAATAACAGTTTATCACTATCGTTTCAGCCATAACGGATCCAATTCATTTATGATTTTCTAATGTCTGTGTATTTTCTATATGTATATTTATTATTAAAATTTTGAGCCAAAAATTTAATGGTGATCGTTAATTTTGTCGATTTTAAAAGTTTCTAAATTGTACAAATTATAAAAAATATTGAACCTTTTTTTTCATAGTCACAAGAAGTTTTTTAAAACTAACCCAAACATTTTTTGTATTATAATAGTTTTGGAGATATTTAATAAATCAACTGAGAAAATAGTGAAATTTTGAATTTTCCATAACTTTTTGAAAACATTTTTTTTAATTCTTTGGTAAAACTTCGTTTTACGATGTAAGAAAACTACCCACCAAATTTCCGACTTGATCGTTTTGACATGGAATTATCCATAAAATTAATTTAACTAAACTAAACATATATCATTTCCCCGCCAGATGTCTGTACGTGAACGTGCCGGAGCAGCGCACGGCCATCTTCACGGAGATCCTCGAGACGTTGAAGAGCACGCTGAGCCCGCACTCGGAGCACTACCGCACCGCCATCGTCACGCTCGGACACATCGCACACAACCTGCCCGACAACTTCCCTGTGCATATTAAGAATATCGTTTCTAGAAAGGTGAATATGAAACAATGTTGCTAATTATATCTATATATTACTCTATTTTGTTTTCGTTCTTTACAATACAACAGACCCCTAAAGATCTATAGAAGAGTACTCTTCCAGTCCTCCGTTAAGGTCAAATAAGATGACACTACAACGTTTTAGTTTTGAAATTGTTCACCATGCATGCATGCATTAATATTTTTAGGCAACCATTGATATAGAAATGGAAAAACATTTCCTAATTAATATTTCTTCAAAAAGTGGCGTTGACATGTGATGTTAAGTCAAACCAAACAAATCGAAAGTTGTAATTGTTTACATACAAATTAAAACTTACGCACACCACAAATTGTACAAAAAGTGTAATTCAATTTTGATTGAGCACTTCTTTTTGAGGTTACTTTTGAGACGCTAATTTTTTATCTTCAGTGTTTGTATATCAATGTTATACTAAAAATATATTTAACAAATATATGTTAAAAAAAAAAAACCGACTGCCAGGCACTAAAAAGTAAAAAAATAACTAAACAGGGGATTTCATTTAGCATAGTAACCTACCTACTCAGATATTTTTGAAGTCGGTGTGCTTTAATTTGTATTGGCTGGCATCAACTTCGAAAATATCTGATTAGGTATCTATTTCAAATGAAAACAACCCCCGTTTAGTTATTTTTTTAATTTTTAGTGCCTGAAAGTCAGACTTTTTTTTAATTTTTATCTTTCCATTATAGTGTAGAAGTAATAAGCAGGTAATTTGTAAGAAGAAATGTATTATAATCTACATATTCGATTAAGCCATTTATTTAAAAATAATTTATTGTTGATTTTTTAAAAACCGCTCGACCGATTTCGATAAAATTTAAATATGACCACCTGGGAAGTTTACCCTTTGAAACAAAAAAAAAAAGATTTTTTCAAGTCTGTTCAGGCGTCTTTGTGTAGTCGGTGAACATAATAATAAAAAAAAAGAATTCAGACGAATTGAGAACTTCCTCTTTTTTGAAGAAGTCTGTTAAAAATAATAATAATCCAACAGATAGTAAAAGAGCTGTTAGTCCGCGAAGGCGGTGGCGGTTCCAACGCTCCGGAGGGTGATTGGTGTGATGAAGAGGAGCTACCCGAAGAGACTCGCTGCAAGCTCGAGGGGCTCAAGTGTATGGCGAGGTGGCTACTCGGACTCAAGAAGGACGAGCTCTCCGCACAGAAGACGTTCAGGATGCTCAATGCTTTCATTGTTCATAAAGGAGATTTGTTGCAGGTACGGTTTGCTGCTTTTTTTTAGTTTTTTTTTTACTATTTATGACTAAGAAGACTCTGCAAATTCAAAATGAACGCACTTTCTGCCCAGATACATAGAGCCCTTCAGAATGCATGAATTTATTGCTCATAAAGGGGATAAAGGGTTTTTTACACTAGCGGCTTACCCTTGCTTCGATTAAATGCGTTCCTAGATGCTATATAGTAGCTTTTTTTTGGATGTTGTAAAATGTATTTACGCATACCACCTTCATACAGACAGGTAATTATATGGTACGTACCAGCTAGAAAAGCCAGTAGTACCCCACTAAAACCCAACAGAACTTCTCCTTGTCTTAATGACCAGACTATAAACTATAAAGTGGTTTCCCTATAGTCTATCTGTGTACTTCATCCAAATCTGTCCCAACTGTTTCAACGTGAAGCCTCAACAAACACACATATATAAACTTTCAAAACTTATAATAGTAGCCAGATACTATTCAATATACATTAATTTGGCACATTCATACTTTCTATATAATATACATAAACTTAACCAAAATACGAACAATTAATATAGTAAACGTATATAGTAAACTAAAATCCACAATAATTCCACAGCAAAAGCAAGTATCTAAAGCGGAGATGGCTCACCTGCGGCTGGCGGCGGGCGCGGCCATGCTTAAAATATGCGAGCAGAAGGGCGTCGGCGACCAGTTCACCGCCGATCAGTTTTACAATCTGTCGCATTTGATGGTGGTATGTAATTGTACACTATGGTGTGGTTATTTACCATGGCTTGTATAATTTTTAGAAAAAAAGAAATCCTTATAGGATCACTTCGTTGTCGGTCTATCTATTTGTCTGTCAATACCCTTTTCCTAAGGGACGCGTGGAGGTTTCGACTTCAAATTAGTATCGAATACTCAGGTCTGCAATTCATACTTCTAAAGTCGACGCAATCAAAAGATACGGTCATTTATGACGTAGATTATGACACTCGTAAGGAGAATCGCAAGGGAATTAAAATCTATTACCCGTACCCGTTGACCTAGAATCATAAAATTTGGCAAGAAGCAATGTCTTATAGCACAAATAAATGGGAAAATGCAAAAACCTTACATTTGTAGTAACATCACAAAAATAACATATGTTTTTTTTCGCAATTATAAAGATTTTTAATATTTTACGCTACAGAACCCTCGGTGTGCGAGTCAGACTCGCACCTGTCTGATTTTTATTTTTATTTTTTTTTATCTAAGTGAAAAGAGTATTGTCAGTTTAATATCTGGAAGTAAAACAAGTCTATATCTATAGTAGTGATCCGACATTGCTTCGTTTGTGTGAATTATTTGATATCGGAATTAATAATATTAACCATCATACTGGGATATTTATAGCCTATAATAACAATAATAATAATTATTTTTATTAAAGACAATAGAATGATAAAAACTGTATAAAAATCCGTACATTAGTTTCTGAAATTTAATTTAAACAATCTCAAACTTTGTGGTGGGGACTTTAATTTATAAAATGTAGTGAATTAATAAATGTTATATAAATGCGATGTAGTTTTTGTGTATTATATATTTACATAATATGTATGTTTTAGGATGAGGTTCCACAAGTACGAGAGGGTTTTGCAGCAAAATTACACAAAGGTTTATCAAAGGTAAGGACAAAAACGTAAATATAAAATATTATAATGGGTAAGTTTTAACAGTTAGTATGAATAGAAAAACTGTGAAAAATAAAAACAAATCTATCCCTTGGGAATCGTACATTTTGCCGTTATAAAAAGTAACTTACTCTGTGCTATTTCAATCTATACTCTATCTCTGTGCCGAATTTCATCCATATCCGTTCAGCCGTTCTGGCGTGATTGAGTAACAAACATCCATGCATCCAAACTTTCGCCTTTATAATATTACTTCGCCCCTACAAAATCCTCTTTATAATATTAGTATATATAAATAAATAATGATAAGTAATAATATACAACGTGTTACGTTCCACAGGGTATCCCCAACAAGTGCCTGCCGCTGGACTTCATGGGGATGTACGCGCTGGCGGGGCGCGAGCCCGACCGCCGCGCGCGCGGCCTCGTGCGCCAGTACATGCTGGCCGACGTCGTGCGCCGCCGCGAGTACGTGCGCAACATCACCATTGGCACCAAAGGTAATAACTTAATTAAACTTAAACTATGTGCGAATCATTTCTAACATATTTACCACTAATTGCCTTACGTTGAAGGAAAACATCGTGAGGGAACATGCCTGTCTGAGAGAACTTAGCAACTTTCGAAAGACATGTAAAGTCTGCCAACCCGCACTTGGCCAGCGTGGTGGCCAGATTCCCCTCGTATTGAAGGGAGGCCCGTGCCCAGCAGTGGGACATTAAAAAGGGCTGAATACATACATACAATAAAACTTCAACAATATTTATAAAATGTAGGTCAAAGACCGCTGTTTGCGATTGTTGTTTTATAAGTGCTGAGGTACAGATTTTAATCAAACAAAAATGAACACAGACGACTAGCCAACTAGACAACTTCTTGTGTTTGTACTGTAACCTTTTATATCACTGTGTGTATCTCCCTTAACTTTTTCCTCTGTACTGTTTTTACGTGTGTGTTGACTTTTTCATTATAATTTAATTAGTGACGTAACATACATAGTACATACATACGCTACTTTAATGCACATTCTCGGTGACTCGGCTACAGATACGGATATACTGGGTTCGAGTCTCGGGTCGGGACAAGTTTAATTAATGAGTTTTTCTGTTAAGATATTCTCAGTAATAGCCCAGAGTTGGGAGTTGGCAATGTTTCACCCCCGTGCCTCGGAGAGCACGTAAAGCCGTCGGTCTTGCGCCGACTCTCACCGCGAGTGTCGAAGTACCGTCCCATTGAACTGTTAGAGTAAATAAAACAGAGAGTGCACGTAGTTTGCGCGTACATCGACTATAAATCTCCTACACAGATGGCTAGTCTCAGTGAGATTGGCCGCCGTGGCTGAAATCGGTCAAGGGGACGTTATTATAATGTACCTTCTGAAAAGATTTCAATATATCCAAGTCTACAGTGACAGAAAGCTAAGTTCATCTGTCCTGACATATCTACCAAATGGATCCAGAACTGTCATCAACTTTGCCATTGGAGAGTAGAAATAGCGTCCCTAGGAGTCAAAAAGTAGTAGAGTTTTACTCCAAGCCTTACAATTAGTCTATCTTTCATCAAAATCTTTGAAAGGTTTTAATGAAAATAATGTCATAATCTATACAAATATTATAAAGAGGTAAAGGTTGTGAATTTGTAACGTTGTAGGGGGTAATCATTGGATCTACTAAACCGATTTAGATGAAATTTGGTAAGAAGATAGTTTGAGACTCTGGGAAGGACATAGGATACTTTTTATCCCGGAAATCAACCCTTAAGGGGGGTGAAAGTGGGGATGAAAGTTTGTATTGGGAAGCAAGCTAGTCTCTTTATATAAAGACTAGCGGACCCGACAGACGTTGTCCTGTCTACACGTCTTTAATTTGAAAATTTCAAACTTTTTTTAATAATTTTTTTGATGAAAATTATTATTCAAATTGTGAATCTAAACCATTCCCAGATCCCCTTGAACACACACAAAAAATTTCATCAAAATTGGTCCAGTCGTTTAGGAGGAGTTCAGTCACATACACACGCACACAAGAAATATATATATTAAGATATATGAATGCTGTAGGTATGTGTTTTCTATTCTAGAATACAAAGAAACAATCAATTTTAATGAAATGAATATCATATTTAATGTATATATTTATAAAAATATGTAATTTTATGACTTCTTTACAGTGGAACGTGCCGTGAGCCAGCTACCACACATCCTGCCCGACTACATGATGGTGTTCGCGGTGCCGGTGCTGGCGCACGACCCCGCCTTCACCGCCTACGACAATGTGCAGCAGCTTAAGGTAGCTTATTTGTATTGTATTATAATACTGTTTGTGGACTAGGGAGTCGTCAAAATCCACCATTTTTTTAAATCTTTCACGAATATCATATTATAAAAACTTCTTATTTTTCTCTCTTCAGCTAATGTCATATTAAAAAGATATTTTTATTAAAAATATACAACTTTAAAATCACTGAAAAAGCAATAATTTTATATTTAAAAAACTTTCCTTAAAATTCATGGGCTTTCCAAACATTTCCTATCTGTTATAAATGTACTTAAATAATACACTTTTGACAAGACTGCGCTGACTCTAAGTAATTTGGGAAATGGGCAGGAAGATGATGATTATAAACTAACAAATAAACATATATATCTTTATTTAAATCTCGGGTTCGTCCCTATTATACGTTTTATCGGTTAGTATAGATTTCTCAGAAATGCGATATTATCCCGCAATAAAAAGTATCCTATATGTTGACCCGGATAACCAGCTATCATCATATCAAATTTCATCAAAATCTATCCAGTGGTTTTATCGTGATGCGGTCACAGTTAACAGACAGGGAAAAATTCTAAAAACTGTATATTCGGCCTCTGTATCGATAATAATGACTATTTCAATAAGATTTTCCAAAAAAAAAAATATGTACAGATTCGACTCAGAATTTTATTATATGTATAGATGTACATATAATATGCTAATAAATACACGTTGTAGGTGGTAAAACAATGTCTCTGGTTCGTCCTCGAGCCGCTCATCACACGCAACGACTTCTATTGCTACGGTTTCTACAAGAGTCTCGTCGAGCGTATGAAGAACCACAAGGACGCGCTCAACGAGACTGATGACGCCGTCAACTATGTGAGTATTGTGGATATGTATATATATATATATATATATATATATATATATATATATATATATATATCCACAATAGCGAGCGGGCTACCACTGCCTAATATATGTTTAAGAATAAACTATGAAATTATTTTCTTACCTACTCTTGCCATCCCTCATAGGGATTGTCTAAAAATCTTTTCTTCTATAGGACGGTAAAGATATAATATAGGCGTGTAGTAAAAACTAGCATCATTATTTATATTTACTGTTAGGATAATAATTAAGAGATGTAATATACTGATGATGCAATATAATCTCATGTTAGTTTAAACGAGTGTAAAAAACACAAGTGTGAAAACTGAAAATTAAACAAAGATTACGAACAATTATTTTTATATTGAAAATATAAAAATTATATTAATATAATTATATATTTAGTGTAACCATTTTTATTTCATTAAAATCTATGTGTTTGGAAGAATATGTAGGTGCACGGGTTAAAAAGAATCCACATTAAATTCAAGTACTTGTTTAATTTGTTCTTTAGAATACGTATATACAATTTAAAATTTTGATCCGACATGTATGACAGGCGCGCGAGGGGAAACAAAGGTGAATGGCAATTAGTAAGTAAAATTGTGGTCGGCGACTGTGGCCCGCAATGCCTAGGTATCAAGCATTGTATCTACGGGCTGTATGGCGATAACACTATGTTAAATAGATACTTGACTTTGAATGCTTAAATACCTATATATAATATAACATTGTATCTGTTTGTACAGAAACTGTGGGCGACATGCGACCTGGCGATGTCGGTGATATGGACGCGCTCGAGCAGCTTCGAGCTGCGCGAGTTCCCTTCGGACGCGCGCATCCCCACCATGTACTTCGCGCCGCAGCCCGATTTCTTCATCAACACGCGCGTCTTTTTGCCGCCAGAGCTACAGGTCTATACATACATATTATCTAGCTTTATATACATATACTCTAAAGCTCTAAGCAATAAAGAAAAAATATACTCTGACCATAGACTAATCCGTACAGGCGTCTAGACAGGGCAATAGTAAAGTGTATGTGATTAACACGTGGGGGAGGCGCACCCGACTGTCATACTTATTTTTGTATGTATGACTGTCGGGTCTGAGTACAACTAGTAAGTGATATTCGAAAAGATTGAATTGCCAACGCTGTATCAGTATTTTGGATTCTAAAACGGAGTTAAATAAAAATTGAACTAAACGTGAAAGATGCACAGAAAGTGAAAAGAAATACAAAGAGTTCTTTTCTCTTTGTCAGCTTCTTGCAGCATCAGGTTTTGTGCGCGCGATTTCATTTTTCTTGAATTATATCGTGCTATATTAAAAGAAGCTCTAATTGAAATTTAAAATATATGTACTTATCTGATGACATTAGAATGATTAGTAATTATGATTTATAAATAACATTATAATCAATAATAACAATTAAATTATGCAGTTCCAACCGAAGCGCGCGACGAGCACGGACGCGGCCAGTGTGCGCGGCAAGAAGCGCGCGCGCCCCGCCGACCCGGAGAACACCAACGATGTCGAGGTAACGCTATGTTATATATATATATATATATATATATATATATATATATATATATATATCCGCGACTCCACTGTAGTTCGATTATGTACATATATAAAAATAAATCATAGCCTTTATTGTATGAGCTATATGTTTCTTAAGTTTCATCAAAATCTGTTCAGCAGTTTAGTCGGTTATATGAGTGTGTAATATTATTATTAAAACATTTTCCGGACTCATTTCCACTGAAAAAGCTATGTACTTTATTTTGATAATTATTGGGATAGTGGTGTTTGTTTCGAACCACTCCATCTATATATGTATATATAAAAATGAACCCCTATTTCTCCTGGTCACGCTATAACTTGAGAACGGCTTTACCGATTTCATTCATCTTTGTTTTTAAACGTTTACTAATACTTCGTTGAAGGTTCTTACATTAAAAAAAATTAAGATAATTGCGGAGAAACTTTAGTTAATTTTAAGAAAACTTAATCCCGTAAATCATCCCTTAAGGGGGTGAAAATGGGGATGAAAGTTTGTATTGGGAAGCAAGCTAGGGACGAACCCGAGCGAAGCGAGGGTGAGTCTCTAGTACCCAATGAATATGTTTCGTTTAATTTCAGCCTATCGTTGCTCGATCTGGAAGTATCGATGCTAAGGTAAACACGATATAAGTAATAAATTTCAAAATTTTTACATTCACATAGATTTTATGATTATTTTGTTTAATTTATAGCGAGTAGTTTATTTGGCGAGAGAATTTCAAAGAGCTCTTTTACTTTTGAATTCTTTAGCGTTGTGTTTATGTTAGCATTTGACGAAACTACCATTGCCATTGAAATAATAAAAATGAAAACAATTTTTTTTCTTAATTAAGGTCTAAAATCCAATTTAAAAATATTATAATATAATATTATAGTATTCGAATATTTTATACAGAATTTATGGTGTTGGTAGTTATGGATGATTTGGTAGAATTAGGTTTTCGCGTAGATTAATAATTTTAATTATTGTTTTATTATATTTTGCTTACTTATATATAGGATGTATGCAATTTTACATGATCTTTATGATTTATGCAAATATAATAATATATACATATTCACTTACGCAAATATTTTTTAGAGAAACTTAAAACTTGTTGATTAAGTTTTATGGCATGATATACAAGCATCTTTTGACTTTTACTAGTAAATGATGTTTTTTTTTTGGTAAGCCTGTAGGAATTTAAAGTCACCTATTTTATTAGTATGATAAATAAATTAAAAAAAAGCTTCCAGTAAAATCAAATGTGTAGCCAGTATATCGTTTAAATAATAAAAATATATATATCTATTGATATTCATACATTATCTCTCTCAACAGCCCTCAGAAGCGTCTGACACGCAGATACTGCTGCCCGGCATCGAGCAGCCGCCCGAGACGGACCTTGAGGAGCCCCAGTCCAAGCGCGCCCTCAGCGACTGAACCTCTGTGCTAACGGGATGTATTCTATGACGGGCTGTCATCTGTCACCTGTCAGTCAAATGTTTTTTTGTTTCAATTAGTATTTCTGATTAAGGTCTACTTTTTTGGGTTATTGTAGTATGTTCTTTGTGTGCGATATGAAATGTCAAATGAGTGTGTCGATTATGGCTTTTTTTTATCTCATGTTTTTTTTTCATGTATGTATACGATCTAAGAATTTAGATTATCGTATTATAACGTAGGAATTATATTTTTTTTGTCAATTATTATTTATTGATGGAACTATGTGTAATATAAATTTTTCTTTTCTCTCATCTTCTGTGTTTTCTTTTTCAATTGATAGGTTATAAATTTTACAGTTTTTATAAATCATGCAATATTTTTATATAAAAATAAATAATGAACTGTAACTTTTCAATGATTGTCTAAGATCTTTCTATGCTCTTCTTTGTTTCAATAGAATACATCCCAAAGTTCCTAAAGGCACATACAACCCAGTCAGGTAACATTACGCTTAAACCAATAAAGACTGGCTATTTATATCCCGAAGTGACCCTAACATGAGACAAGACTCTTATATAAAAAACTCCCTTAATATAAAATACGTTATTATGGTAACTAAAGTAAAAGTTTTGAAATACAGCTGTTTGATATATGCATACGTCGAAATTCAAAAATAATAAAACAATTGTCCTAAGAGCTACTGTATGTTGCAAACTCGTCATCGATTTCATATAAATGAGTTGATTTCTTATGTAACATAGTTTTGTTTATTTGTATGTATCGAAATATAATTAAATATATAATTGTATCATGTTTTCGTGAAAATATCAATTTAAAAAATGAATAAAAAAATAACATCTTTATCAATTTTGTCTATATTTAATTAATCAATCGATTAACTTTACAATATATAGTAGCTGTAACATCTAATGTTCATTAAAATGCGTTGTGACGAAGCCATTTTGGATATACATTGGTCAATAATTGATCTTAAAAGTATCGGAATAGATTTTTTAAGCCACCATACTAATGTTAAATTGTAAACCAACCAATGAGGTTTTACACGATTTCATTTTTTTTTAAATCTGAATGTTTACAAATCGTTCATAAGGACCGTTTTGGGATATTTTTAATATATATTTTCATTTATATTTCAATTTAGCCATTTTAAATTATGTTGAATAAACATTTTTATTCTGTTATTATTACGTTTTTGAATAATCTCCTAAAGAGGTCCTTTTGATGGTAATATGTGAGGTGTATTTGGCTTTTTGTTATAATCCTTACTTAAGTGAACTGTTTCAAATATGTATTACAATATGTATTTAGACATTAATGAAAATGTCTGGAATTCCTTGTAGCAGCATATGTGAAAAAAATATTAAAAAAAAGTTTTCCATAATTTTAAATTGATTTAAAAACAAAATACGTATAGATTTCAACGGCTTCTATTATTTAAAACTATAAGTCAGGATTATAAGGCCTTTTATACAAACTCACTAAAATAAATATTTGAGGAGAACAGTGTATTATAGAATTTGATTGTAAGTTAACGATACAATGTTTGTTCTCTCGTTGTTTTTAGTTTAGTTTAATTTTCGGCTGGTCGATTTAATTTTTTTTTAATATATTTTAAATCTCATCTTCGGAAAACTTGTGTAGGATACATGAATACACATTAGTATTTTTAGTCTGTGGTCAGAAATGGCATATTCATGAAGAATAGACAAGGAGTCCAATCTCTGTATGTAAAAGTTGTCCCAAAAATTAAAAAAAAAATAATGTGTATGTGTATTTATGTACGCACGTAAGAAGTTATACTTCTTTGGTGTAATAGAACAAAAACAGCTAAAGATTTCATCCCGTATATCACAACTCTCAGTTGGTAAAAGGAATGATAATAAAAATAAATGACAGTTATCAGCTAATAATAAGCAGTTAGCATGTCGCTTTTTGGCTGTCGGTGTGCGCGCATAGTTAAAGTTTTACTCTCATATTTTTTTCCAAACGTCCTAAAAGTTTTGTTGTTAACTTCAATAATAACGGGTGCACAGAGAGCGCTGCGGTTTTTATGTCCCCAGGAGGGAGGGGAAAATTCGCGATATATTCAAGTACTAGCGACTCAACCTCGCTTCGCTCGGGTTCGTCCCTAGGTACATTTTTTTTGAGCGGAACGCTAATTCTTTTACTGAAATAAAAGTAGCCTAAGTTACTCCTTGTAACATCAACTACCTGCCAGTGAAAGTCCCGTCAAAATCGGCCCAGCCGTTTCAGAGATTAGCCGGAACAAACAAACAGACAGACTGACAAAAAATTTGAAAATTGTTTTTTCTACAGCGTATTTATATACCGTATATAATTCCATATGAATTTAGTAAAAAGCTGTTATTTTGACATTACAAACAGACACTTCAGTTTTATTTATCTGTAATAGATTTAATAAAAAAAACACTCTTTACTTACTATAAGTAAGCAAGATGCTCAAAATGACTAAGTATTAAAGAAAGATACATAATAATTATAGCGTGAATTCATTTTTAAATTACACACTGATTTGTTCATCACTAACTTTGCGCTACTGACATGCAGCTAAACTCACGTTGTAACGTAAATCACCGCAAATCGTGGCAGTTTTTGCAACTATAGCTCTAAAAATTTTTACAGACGGATTTCATGAGAAATTTTCTAAACCAAACCAAACGGATGATGGACTACTTGTCTATATTCTTCGTGGGCGTGTCGATACAATACGAGTTGGTAATTGTTTTGAAAAATCTAATATTGTTTTCTTGTGTAAATTATGATACGTTCATGTGTACTCAATAATTTAATATGGATTGCTTGTTCGAAATATATTTAATGACACAAATTAGTTTTGTAAACGTCGCGTCGGTCGGCATTGGCGCCATTTGTAACTTTTAAGCTCTTGTGATAGCAATTGTTTTGGTTAATTATTAATTTTAGGTAATTTTGTTGGGTGTAATCTGCATTTTTATCTCTGCAAGTGCTTCTTTGAATTGGATTTATATTGGTTTTATCCAATATTTTACGTGACATACGATAATTTGAATTCTAGATTCCAGCTAAAAAATGAATGGGTCATACAAAATGTTTTCATATAAACATCTAATATTGTCAAATGCCAGATGTGGTATATGAATTGTAAATTTCTAAATAAAGCTTGCACCGTTATCCCAACAATGCGCGATGTCCGAAAGTAGGTGGTGTAAGTAATGTTTTAATTATTTTGTGTCGTTTTATTTAAGTGTACCAAAAACTCGGAAGGGCCACCGGCTCGCGCCGCGGCGTCGCCCGCAGTGATTCTATGTAGTTATGTATTAAAATAAATAAATAAATACATATTTTGTTATTTTATTACGTTATACCAACACTTATAAACTACTTGTATGTTCTTGCTTTAAGATGAAGGAAATGGTGTGAACTATGGCAATTTAAAAATAATAAATAAAAAACAAAAAAAATATTTTATTGATTAAACGAATTAAAAATTAATTTTTAGTATAAGAATAAAGTGATTAGTGAAGAAGAGAAAATGAATGTTATTGTGAAAAAAGCGCGGGGTGCTCGATGTCAGTTGCTATAAATATTCCATTGGTACGATTTCTAAAAGTAGAGTTAGTATAAAAATATTGTACAAAGCAACACACGCTTTTTACCCAATAAAATTATTTTTCTCGTTAATCACTTTATTCATATTATTTTCTTCTCTGTTTACATAATATACATCATATCATTCAGTCTACGAAGTTATCATTTACTCTCCGCGCAAACCCTACGCGTATGGCCCAGCCAGAGCGCTGACATTACTAAAAGAACCTTTTTAATTCGGTTAGCATTATTAGCAGGCATGTCAAAATTATATTTTACTTTATTTATTAGTAAAATGAGATTGTGTAGATGTAGTTATATGATGATGTAGTTGTGTGGAATAATTTATTCATTATTACTCTTATTAGTAAGGATACGAAAAACAAAAAAAAATGTAACCATTTTATTAGACGAGTATAACCACTAATCATGTTTAGTGTCCGGCGCAGTGACTTCCTCTGGATTTTCTATATACTCCTCATTGCGCACATGAACTGGCGGCCTTACGACGGGGTCTATGTCTTGCATGGCTTCTATTAGTTCTGCTGTCGTTTTGTATGATGATATTGTATGCTTAACAAAATCCCTGGGGATGTAAGGATTATTTTAGTTAATAATGACCTGTCGATAGATCGGCTACAGTATTCAATCTCACTGAAACTAGCCAGATGCGCAGGAGATATTATTATAGTATACTAGCATTGCCCGCGGTTCCGCCCGCGTTCAGATGATCAAAAACGAAATTCTTAGGTTTTACATATTAGTATACTTTTACATTGCAGTTTTTGTATTTTTTCTCAGAAATGAGATATGGGTGAAACATTGCCAACTTTACAACTCCGAGATGTTACTGGGACTTAACAGTAACACTCAATAACTAAACTTAGTCCGACATGGGACTCGAACCCAGGACCTGCTACTTGCTAGCCAGTACACCACTGAGGCAGTTAATAAATAGTAGATACCTATCTAAGGGAGCGCAATTTATACTGCATAATATAGTAGAATGAGATTATTATTTCCTTTCCTTTAGTCGCACCGCATATATAACAGCTTTACTTATGTAACGGGAACCTTTTCATGTCCCTAATAGAACAAAATATTTGTCGCTATACGACTCATAAACTATAATTAATGAAAAAACCTACGTCGATCCAATGATCAGTGTGCGTAAAAACAAGCCTAAAATCCTTTTCGTATTTACGATACCTATTAGTTAAAATCAAATCTATACATATAATAATATGGAAGATATTTAAGAAAAACTATTATGAGGGGTCTTTATTAACAAAATAAAACCCAAAACAATGATTTTTAGAATTTTTGTCTGTTTGTTTGTGTGTTTGCGCGCACTAATCTCAGAAACGCTTTAACCAATTTGGGTGCGGTCTACACTAAAGTATTGTGGTAAGCTTCATTTAAGATTTAGTATCTGTTTTATTTCAATCTGTACATAAATAAAAAAAAGCTATGTCTATTTAAAGAATCTCCTAAGAATGAAGCGAAGGTGAGTCGCTAGTATTTTAATATAAAAAAAAATTAAGATATTAGTAAACCTAAAGTAAAAAGCCTTAATGAAGACAGCGGGCTGGAATTCATGACCGCAACGCTCTGGCCCAAAGCTCATAACTCCCATCAAGCGGTTGTGCTGCACGGCGGGGGCGCCAGCGTCGAACTGGAAAATCCACCAAATTTTAAAATAAATACAAAACTTTGAGGTTTCGATAAAGGGGTTTAATTATTTATTATAGCTACTTTAGCGCTTCTTTACATATAAAAAAGTGTGCAAAGCATAAAAATTGGTCGTACAAGTACCTATCGTATGTGGATTTTGTACAAATCCCATATTTGCACAGGACGTTTTTAAAAGCTTAATAATATTATCTGAGTTTCATTCTACATAAATTGCAGAGCAAAAATCATCTCGTTGCTCCATAGTATAACTAAACTATAACCGAATTAAAGACAAGATTTTAAGGAAGCAAATTTTCTATTTATTGTAAAACTAACCAAACAAGCATCTCTTGTTCCATTTCTCAATGAAGCACAGAAGAAGTCGGGTGTGAATAGAAATCCATTAACTAACTGATACGCGTCCGAACAATAGCTGCGCGTGCGCACTTTAAGTCGTGCAGTCATGAGGTCCGGAGTATGATCTCGAAAAGCCGTGTCCGAACCCTGTAAAAATATGTACAGATACAATTTCCACTATTTAATTGATCTATATATGTATGGCAATGATAATTCAAAAATATCAACTGAACAAAAGTGAAATAATTGGCACACAAATTATTCAAATCATTTCAATCATTGTTTTTCGTGAAATAATGGTACGATTTTAGTTCTGAACCTAACTCTAAATAGTGCTGTTTTTTACTTAAACTTTTAAAGAAATAAATGAAAACAAATCATACGTTGCGGATAGTGTCTAGAAATAGAGAAAAAAAAATTACGCGTGTAGCTCCCCAGCCGGTAACGGAAACAAAACTTTGCGCGTAAGGTTCCTTCATGCCATCGTAAATCTTAATTAAATTTATATGTTGTTGAAACTCTGCAAAAAACAGAACTCTATTACATAGCGATATCTGGAATATGGTAATAAAATTAATTAATCATCATCAGCCTTACAACAAATTAAGGTACTTACCTAATTCATAATTTTTTATAAAATCAGTATTTTTAAAGTGTAAATTATACGAAACTTAGCTTTGCATTCTTATTCAAATATGTACCTACATATATTATAAATGCCACTATTTGTGTGTGTATGTTTTGTTAGTCTTTTCCAATGAAACGGCTTTACGGAAATACATAATATCAAGAGTAAAACATAAGATACAGTAATAAAATGTACCAAATGGTGCTGTATTAAAATGTTATAAATATAAAAGGCACCCGAACGAGCGAGGGTAAGTCCCTAATATTATCCGTATCTTCGTCTTTCTGACCGTTTGTTACGTTTTCACGCCTAAACCGTTGAACAATTTTGACGAATTTCTGTATAGAGATGGATGGATGGAGAAAGAAAGCCATTAAAAACTTGAAGGAAGTGAAATAGGTCTTGTTTGTATGGGGAATTGTTTGTAATGGCAAAAATCATATCTCAAGCTAGACATAAAAATCATTATATCCTATAATTTTGGTAAGAAATAAAGAATGTTTTTGGCGTTTTCGACAAATCAAGGTAAAATAAGGGATGATTTTAAGTTTTTTTAGCTGTCTGTTGCCTTTTTTCGCTTAACCCACTGAACAGATTTCAATAAAATTTGGCAATGACATACAAAATTGCATGCTGGAAACAAACAAATTGCTACCTTTGATGTTTCTTTACCACACGAGCGAAGTCGCGGGCAAAAACTATGTATAAACAAATGGTACTCATCCTTTTTAATACTAGCCTAAATTATCAACGAGTTTCAACAGAGCTATATCGGCATGCGGAACTGGTTCTTCTTCAAACTTGGGATGTCGCACTGCGCCGGCCACGTCCACTAATAGCCCCCCCTCGTGAGGATGTGCGCTGCCTACCCTTACTTTTACATACTGTCCTAAAGTCTTCATCGGTGCGACATGCAGGACACTGTTGGTATTAAAATCATATTTATTAAACAGTTTTGTTTTACACGGTTTTCTGTTTTTGAATGATTTTTTGAATTTTTCACAAAATTCAGCCCAGCCAAGAAATCCATACTTAATATTATAAATGTGTAAGTGTATTTGTTTGTTTGTCTTTCTTTCACGTCGAAACGGCTAAGCGGATTGGCGTGATTTGCTGTTTGGAGATAGTTGGAGGACTGGAGAGTGACAAAGGCTACTTTTTACCGCGGGAGATTATCTCTTTCCTACGGGAAAACACGTTATAATACAATCCATAACATTATTTATAATCAGAATTACTTGAAACTTTGTATTAATATTCTTCAATACAATTAATTAAAATCGTGTTTTAGCATTTTTCTAAATACATCCCATAAGGGGGTAAAATAGCGGATGAAAGTTTGTATGAAATCTCCCATTTTAGTTTTTTTCATAGTTTAGCGCGAGCGAAGCCGCGGATTCTAGTAGTATTCAATAATATAAGAATGTATGTGTGCGAGCGATATCAATTTATGTACTTCATAACATGCAATTCCACTTATCGGACTATTACTATAATTGTGAAATAACTTTCAGTATAATACTTTCTTAGATTTACGCGAATATTTGACATTTTAAATAAAACTATCTTTTCGTAGTTTTTAGTGGATTTATTTTGATTTTCGGTTCCTGACGTTTCGAATGCTTTACAGCAATCATGGTCACGGGAGAGACTGAGGTTTTAGATATCTTAAAGGCATTATATAGTTGTTTCAGACAAAATAACTCTGGACCCACAAAATAACAAAATGAATTTAAAAAAATCAAAAAACACATATTTTCAGTATGCATGTGTATGTATATTTGTTACCTACTCCTTTATATTGAATGGTGGACGAATTGATATGAAAGATTGAATCATACAATGTTTAACATGAGCTTGATTTTAATTTTTAACAAATATTTGTTAAATTACGTTAAACATGTTAACTTACTAATTTAGACAGTGTGCAGCAGTTAAGACCCAATTCACGTCTACAATAGTGCCAGCACACCACAGCCTGCCGTTTATGATAATAGCAGCGATATAAGGATAATTCTTTGTATCAGTTGTATTTCCTCCACGTATTCTCAATGCTTGCTTATAAATGTTAGTAAGATGATCGTTTCTTATTCTAAGAGCCTTTTCGCCGCTGTGATGTCGGCGACGAGTGTCCGACAACTTGGGCTTGGGCTCACTGTTCTCGAATTCTACTTTAAATTTAACTAATAAAAGAAAGAAAATGACATAAATAATATAGTCTAATATTATTTTATTTACACTTATATTTAATATCTGAATTGACAGAAAGGTAAACTGAAATGGATTTAGATATTTCTTAGAACCCTTGATTTAATTAAAAGCCTATTTAATGTTTTTCATGTAAAATTTGCGTTAAGAACGTTTTACTTCCAAACTCAATTTTCATTGTTTACTTTAATAAGTTTTGGAGAATAGCTGTTTTGTTTTCTTGTTAAGACAAGATAGTTTTATTTTTATTTTTTAAAATAAATATATCCCACTCTTCATGTGAATTAAGTACAAAGACCAAAGTAAAGATTAAAGAGACTAATTTGAAACTTATAGTAAGTATACATATATTCAACTTAAAATTGCAGTTTAAAAAGTTATTAAACAAATATCTATATGCCTTACCAACAGATGCATCATTCTCGTCAAGAAATGCGAATACATTGAAATAAAAGAAAAAACCAACTACCGCAACCAATAACGTATGCATTACTCGTATTTTTTTGCACTACAAAAATGCTCTTACGAAATGTAATTTTTATAAAGACGATAAAGTCACAATTGGATTATAGTGGAATAAAGGTAGGCAAGTATTTCTTTGTTTTGTGTTAACTTTCTATTTGACTACAAAACACCACATTCACGTTTAAAATTTTTGGTATATTAAAAATAGCATGTCCTTACAGAAATAGTAAATAAATAATCATAAATAATAATAATAAACAAATAAACCGTATAATGTTGTAAAGTTTTGTAGGTACTACTTTATATGTGTTACGTCGTTGTTACATAGTATACTTTTATGGTACCACTTCCTGGTATTGGGAAGTCGAATTGTCGTCTTGGGTCTTTAAGAGGATTGGAGGTAATATAGTGTGCATATACGCCTTGACATTTTCATGGTTTTTCTATATGGGTCAGACAGAGAGAAACAATTGAAAATTTTCGCCTCATGTATTATATGTAGGACACACTGAGAGGTGGACCACCTCGGTGGGTGGTGTATCATGTGGTTACCTGTGGGTACTTCTTGATAGCAGAGTGAACAATGAATGCATTTTTTGTTGTTGTGGTCTGCTTCGGCATGCCTGCCGTCGGGACGACGTGCTTGCGTGCGTATTAGTGATCCCGCGGTATCCCATTAAGACGGGGGGCTCCGTTGGGTTTTAATGGGCGGTACTGGCTTTTCTAGCCGGTGAGTCCCATATAACCACCTGTTTGTATGCAGGTGATATGAGTAAATGTATTTCCCAACGTTAAAAAAAAAAGATTCGTATCTTGAAACTGTTGTGTCGTGGACAGCGCCACATAAAAATAAAGACATTATTTTAATATTTAAAAACACTTTAGACATTTTAAATAAGTATGGGTCGTAAAAACTTTTAGTAATAATAAAATTCATAATTACAATGTTCTGGGAAAACACAATCAATCAACGTCATTTTGAGTATATTAAATTATTTAAAGGCGTCTGAACTTAAACACTAATAATATAATATTCATAATATTTAGAGTTAATTCGTCAATATCGCATTCGGAAGTCAATACGCATATTTGTATATGAATAAAGTAGTTTCGACTATTACAGTACGAACTATCCATTGCACAATAGCGAAAATTAAATTTTTCGTTTTACACTACGTCCATGTCCATTCACAAATCAATAAAATATATTCTATACTAATATTATAAAGAGGTAAAGTTTGTCAGCTTGTGACGTTGTAGGGGGGTAGTCTTTGGATCTACTGAACCGATTTAGATGAAATTTGGTAAGAAGATAGTTTGAGACCCTGGGAAGGACATAGGATACATTTTCATCCCGCAAATCATCCCTAAAGGGAGTGAAAATGGGGATGAAAGTTTGTATGAGCAATCAAGCTAGGAAAGAACCCGAGCGAAGCGAGTATTAATAATAAAATAAAAAGTATACGGAAGCAGTCTTTCGTTGCGCCTTTTTTAAAATGTGGTGATAAACATAATGTTGAAAATAACAGACCTATTTCTAAATTATGTACTATCGGAAAATTATTTAAAATGATTGTGTATGACCATATTTATCCCATTTTAAAGCCTTTCTTTTTTAATGAGCAACAGCACGGGTTTGTGAATAAAATATCCACATAAGGGAATCTGTGTAAATTAGTCCATCGTGTTACTACTGCCATGGACCAGGGACATCAAGTCGAGGTAGTTTAAAATGATTTTGCTAAAGCTTTCCTTATACGTAAGCTTGCAGAAATTGGCATACACGGTGATCTTCTTCTTAACTGGTAACTAGATATTAATGCTCTTTAGTACAAATAAATAAATACGTGTTTTAGCATTTTTCAAAAATTACTCCATAGGGGGGTAAAATGGATGAAAGTTTGTATGAAACCTACCCTTTCAGATATTTATTTTGTAGTTTTAGCCCGAGTGAAGCCGCGGGTTCTCCTAGTAACTTATAAATAATTTAAGCAGTAATGATAGAGCATTTAAACAAAATCTGTAATATAAGTACGTAGTCATGGAACATACGTTTCCATGACTACATATTTAAATAAGAATTTTAGTCATGATTTAAGGCAGAATACGTGACGATGTGGATTTAACATCACTATAAACTCGGGTGAATTGCCAGTACTAAAATAAAATATGTAACGCGTGTATCAAGATTATTTCAATAACGTGTTACGTAATTAAAAAAGTAAGTATACTCGCAAATGCATTATGAAATGAATTATATATGTCAGTATCGCACTATGTATTATTCATTTATTATTATTTATTTATTACGTATGAATTGTCTTGTTGATAGTTTTTACCTACGAGTATGTCGAGAATTTTCCTAATAACTTTTAGTAAATGTATGAAACGAATATAAAATGAGCCCGAGCTCGAAGGTTTCATTTTTGGTTGAAGGTTTCATTGCAACTATTCAAGAGATACACAACTCAACTTCTAACTTGACTTTTTTGTATTTATGCTTCACAATAATTCTTAGTATGAAAATCAATTTACAATTTGCGATGTTATCACGTAACCTAAGTAAATACATACAACTTTTTTAAGAAGTCAGTCAATAACAACCACCCGCTGGGCTCTAAAGATTGCCTGAAAATTTCGTCAAAATCGCTCCAGCCATTTTGGAGTCCATAGGGAACATACATACTCACATTTGTTTTTTATATATGTATATAAGATTTTAAAGTAAATATTTAAATGAATCAGCGATTTTTTTTTGTTGTTTGACACTAGGAATAATTTATTTATTCGTAGGTTCAACATAAATTAAAATTTGCATTATATATTTTTCGTAGAATTGTAACATCCTTAGACTGGTTTAACGGGATTATTTTTATTGCCCAGCTTTGTGTTTAACTAAAAATATTGTTAATTTAAATGTTTCGGTAACAATGATGCGTGTTTTTGGGGTCAACAAACCTGTTTACTGTGTCTGGCTTCTGCTCTATCATAAAACTGGCAATATAAACAAACGTCTAACTTTGTATGATGGTAGTGCTAACTCTAAAGATAAATAATAATTAAAAACTGGTCAAGTGTGAGTAAAAACTCATTTTGTGGGTTTCAATTTACTGTCTGCGTTTAATTGACTTTATAGATTACTTAGATTTTACTTCTTTGATTATTATTAAACAAAAACCTTTTTTTTTTCAAAAAATATTTGAAAAAGAGGCCAACAGAAGAATAAGTTTATGCTGGACGGAATTCGGGAGATTGCATCATATTTTTGAGTCATCGGTCCCACAGTCGGTTCGGTTCCTTAAGACCAGGTCCTTTAATGAGTTCGTCCTGCCTGTAACGATTTACGGAGACGAAACGTTTTCGCCAAGCAGATATGGATGTCGATAAGCTGAAAAAATTCAAAAACCGTCTTATACGAATACTTAGATGATAAAATAAAAATAATTCGAGGTAACACAAAATATTTATTAATTTAATTGGAATATTTACCTACGCGCGTATGAGGTGTGGGTATTTTATTTTCTTATTACGTCATGATAATAACAGTCACATTCCTTAAAAATTAATTAATTCTACAATTAAAAAAAATGTTTTTGTATTGTTTATATAATAAATGTTCTTTGTGTGATTCATGTTCAAGGAAAATTTGGTTCAGATTAACTAAGTTGAGATATCTAAGCGATGTGTACGGATTATATAAATAATTAGATATATTTTAAACTTTGAGAGGCATTGGTAGCCCAGTGGTAACGCGCTCGCTTGGGAAACCGAGTGAAGCGGGTTCCCAGGTCTTGGATCTCTGATATTTTTATGTGCGAATCATTTCTAGCATGTTTATCATGATATCATATATGAAGGAAAATAACAGGAAAACATGAGGAAACCTGCATGTCTGAGAAAACGTAGCACGTTTTCGAAAGACATGTGAAGTCCACCAACCCGCACTTGGCCAGCCCGCACGTGGTGGACTATGGCCTAATCTCGCTTGTATTGAAGGGAGGCCCGTGCCCAGCAGTGGGACTTTAAAAAGGGCTATTACACTTAAATTAACCTTTGGCGTTAGTTAAACTTGTATTTGTTTTGTATAAATTCAATATATTTAGGTACGTACCTGATAGAAAAAAAATATGTTTTATATGTTATCAAATTTGTGTACGAGTCGTTACTAAGTTTGGTTGGTTCATTCGATTTACGTTACGAAGTAAAAAATAAGATTCCTAATTTTTTTTAACATTGTATGGTTAATATTATTATTAACTTGTTCAGGTCTTTTTTCAAAGAATCCGAAATGCCATAATTTAAAAAAAGAAGAAAAGGTAAGAAATATTAGCAAAAAGCGAGAAAACGAAAGAAAACTTTATAAATGAATAAAAGGTGATCCTGGCAAGTTACTACTTTAATAGAAAAGAAAAAAATATAATTTAAAGTCAAGAACTACAGAAAAAATAAAAATCTACATCTGAAAAATACGTGAAAAAAACTGTTAAAAGTCATGGCGGATTCCATCAAGCATAAGTAATGAAAATTTAATTCGTCAAGTATCATCGCTACAGATTTTGCCATCACCACTTCATGAACTATTTGCCACTCAGTCGCGAAGACAAGTAAAAAAATGCTGTTTATTATTGTATTAAATATACATGTTCATAGAATACATTCGTTGATTTTGTTATGTGATCTCTCTAAGATACAACAAGACTTTTTTTAAAACTCTGATGATTCTGTGCCTTGTTTAAATGTTATGATTCTATTAATACAATATATATTCTAAGTAAACAATAAATATGAATATTTGCGTTAAAGATCTCACTTTCCTGGTTACTATATTATCCTGGCAGTAAAATAACGTTCACAAGATAATATTTTCGAAATATAAAATATTCACTGTCAAGTATACAATGGTCACTTATTTATTATACATTTTAAAATATGTTTAAAGTTTATTTTCATTTTTCTGTTTTCAATATCTTGTTTGACCCACAAAACTTAGCTTGTTTAAGTCAACGCCTTGACTTCTACTTTGCGTACCGTATGGTAGTAAATATAAGTATGGCACTAAAAACGTTCCATTTTATTCCTTTAAAAGAACTAGCCATCTATTAACAAAATCCATAATGACAAAGTTCTGGGAAAATACAATAAAACAAAGTTACTCTGAGTATATTAAATTATTTAATGGCGTCTGAACTTAAACACTAATAATACCATATTCATAATATTTAGAGTTAATTCGTCAATATCACATTCGGAAGTCAATAGGCACATTTGTATAATGAATAAAGTAGTTTCGACTATCACAGTACAAACTATCCATTGCACAATAGCGAAAATTAACTTTTAAGTTATTTTCGTTTTCACACTGCGTCCATACACAAATCAATAAAATATAATACTTGTCTATTGATCTTTTTGTTTTATCATCTGTGATATGATTGGAAGGAAATAAAGTTTTTTTTTTAATAAAGAAATAATAAATAAAACATTTGTGTTGCTTTAGAGTGCAATAAAGTTATAGGCTAGTTAGTATATGTGTAAGTTATAGGGTAGGGGTATAAGGTTTTCATCGTCCAATAGTAATTAATTATTATTTCGTCCCATTGGTATATTGTGTAGCTTCTACGATTACAGTTCGTGAGGTTCGATGTCGGAATCGGGCTTTTTAGTCCTCTTTTGAGCATTTGGGATTTTCGACCAGGAATTTCTCAAATGCTACAACCCCTGCCATTGATCGACCTGTAAGACCTGTAAGTCGGAGTGTTGTAAAGAGAAAAAAAACCAGAGTGCATCTATGTTTACTAACACAAGATCTTAAAAGCTTAGCTTAGCTGTCATGATCAACAGATTCAGTGTTACTATAAACATTAAAAATATTATTTACAACTCCGTGATGAAAGATGGTTATGACAGATATTATGCACTTCTTTTTATAAACTCTAGTCGATCAGACAAAAAAGAGGATGAGTTTATCGCTTACTCTCGCCTACTCTCACCTTTGCTTCGTTTGGGTTGGTCTCTACTGAAAAACATGAAAAACAAAACCAAATCTATCCCACGGGAGCCGTACATTTTTTTAGGATAAAAGGTACCCGATGTGCTACGCCAAACATAATTTATCTCTGTGGCAAATATCATCCAGATCCGTTCAGATGTTCTGCCGTGATTGAGTAACAAACATCCATCCAACCTTTCGCATTTATATCATTTATAGAATATAAGTAGTAATGATAGAAAATTTAAACAAAATCTGTAATTACTGGTAATTTTCATGAATATGTAGTTATGCTTATGTTTGTATTTTCAAACAAAAATAGAAACAAACGAGGCTCATAGCTTTGTTTCTTTCACTTTCCCCTAATATTGACAATGCTTTTCAGAGACATTAAGGGTTAGCAGTGTATAAATGTAATAATATCAAATCAATCGTCGTAAAAGGTAACTAAGTACAAAAAGTCTTTCATTTAAAATAAATTCTATTACATATACATATAAAAATATACTCTACATAAAACATATATCCATGTTGTATATTTTTGTCAATCATTATGGGCTATCACAATTAAGTCAAAACTGAAAATTACAGTCTACTCATCTCCTTCCCACTTTCAACGTCTTTCCTTTTTTCTTTCTGCCGTCCATCCAATATGGCGTATATCTCATCTAGAGATCTGTCTTTAGTTTCCGGCACGTACATAACTGTGTAGAATGTTCCAGCGAAACAGACCAGAGAGAAGAGTATGAAAACCCAATGAATGCCGAGCAATTTCAGGAGAGGATCGTACGCCTTTGTTTGTAGGAAGTCACTGAGTGCGTCGACGCTGCTCACGAACGATGTTACCATACCACGATGCTGTAAAAAAACGAAAATATTGTAGTGGCAAGGTTTAAAATTTGATTGAAAAATTATGAAAAAAATATTTATGAACCTACGGTTTCAAATATTGATATTAATCTTAAAGGTCTTTATTACTGTGGAGTCTGTAAATCTTTTAATTTTCCTATATTCATTTAACAAAAAAATATATTCACTATAGAGACTCTCCAAGAAGTAGGCAAACAAACGAATGATACCTAATACCCTCCTTTTAGCAGTTAGCTAAACACTATTAGAATTTGTCATTTAATTCAACTGTTAGCAGTATTTTTTAAAGTTATATTCACAATGGAAAAACAAAATAAGGTGTTGTTATGCGGAAATTTTATATACATACTATTTTATTATATACATTATAAATATAGAGATAAAAGATCTAATAATACGGAAATGACATATATGTACATATATGGCATTTATGAATGGAATAGTAGCAACAGGTAGTATAATTAATTATGAGTTTCAATCTGGCGACAATAATAATAATTAATCTATATATAACAAGCAGTTTCCGAGCCTGAGCTTACAAATTTATTGTTTTTGAAAATAAATTATAGTTTTAAGTAATTAAAAAAATACGCATAGTACGATCGGATGTAATATATGGAACTCGTAAAAATGAATCAAAATATGAGCCCAAACCTATTTATTAGTAATCATAGGAGAATTTTGCCTCTTCCTTTCATAATTTTTTGATCGGATTGACGTAAATAATTTTTTATCATCCATATCTGACATACCAAGTTTAAAGTCTATAAGATAATTAGAAATAAGTTAAAATTGTCTCTCTAAGATTTACCTAATCAAGCGAAGTTACGAGGCAAGAAGAGCCGCGGGCAAAAACTTGTACAAGGATAAACTTCGAGTCGTGTGTGTAAGCGCATACGGGTCATATTAAGTAATGTGAATTTAACATGACAATAGACTCAGACGAATTGGCAAGCAATTGCCTACTGGCATAATAAAATATGTAACGCGTGTATCAAGATTATTTCAATAACGTGTTACGTAATATTAGTATTTGCAGCGCGATTTTTTATTTTAATTTTTAATTTTATTTATTTAGGTACAGAAACAGAAAACAAAATTAAAAAATTACATCTGCGTATTAAAAACTAAAAATATCATTTTAAATTTGTTGTCCAATTATTTATCTATACACAACATTCAAATAAAAACATAATAATTATATAAACAAACTTAACCAGAAAGTGAATAGTACAGTACGAGTCTGTGCATTTAAAGTTACATAAAAAATATTAAAAAACACAAAGAAAACCAAATTTCATCAAAATCTGCCCAGTGGCTTTCTCGTGATGCGTTCCCAGACTTTTTATTATAATATGTATAGATTTAATTAGGTTCAATTGATCATAGAAAGAAATTCAATTTGCCAACTATCAAAATACGTAAAATGGGACGAAATGCGGAAATGACATTGAATAATTGTCTAATTAGCACACCTACTAATTAACACCTCCAGGTAAATTTCTAAGAAATTAATTAAATTTCTGAGAAATCTATTCTTAACTGTAAAGCCAGCGTGTCCGCGGTCGTGGAGGGATTAAGTCGAACAATTTATCCAGGATAAACTACTTAATACGTACCTACAATGCTTCAAGAAAGTTTGACCTTGTCGCTAATGTCAATAGAATGTGATGTGCTCAAAGACATAGACTTTGAATATTTGACGATTTTGCATATGTGAAAACTAGAACTAGAGGGTACCTTTACAATAATCGTAGAATTTTAAGCACTAATTTGTGAATGCTAAGAGTTACTTTTCCTAATCATATTCCAAAAAAAAAAAACATTGATATACCGAATAATAAATAAAAATGAAAAAATAAATTAATTTATCAATAAATTTTTGCTCACATCTGCTTAGTTAATTATTGTTTTATTGTATTGAACTACGCTTTCCTTTTACGCAATTTTTTTTAATATAATTTATATTAGCTTAATAAGTTATATTCTTTTTATTAATAAATAAGTTCATCAATATATTATAACATTATATGTTTGTGTTATTTTACGTGTAAGCGTTATAATAATGCATTGTTTTATTCAGTAAATTATAAAATGAAATTCAAGATCTTATTCCCGGAAGAGAAATCCGTGATCTTATTATTATGTACCTATTTTATTTGTCATCCATGATTATTATACACTACCACAGATCTATATAATATTGACACTGATAACGGATACTTGTAAAAATAGAAACAGTACTGTAAATTCACAATGTTGTATGTGTCAGGTTGGCCGAGTGGTCTAAGGCGCCAGATTTAAGCTCTGGTTCCCGAGAGGGAGCGTGGGTTCGAACCCCACACCTGACATTGATGTATTTGCTATGATTTGACTTTTGTACTAAGAAATAGATTTTTTTATAACTAGCAGAACCCGCGGCTTCGCTCGCGCTAAAACTACAAAATTTCTGAAAAGGTAGTTTAATACAAACTTTCATTCTCCATTTTACCCTCTTATAGGATGAATTTCGAGAAAATGCTAAAACACGTATTTTTTAATTTTTAAGAAGGGCATTAATCCCAAGTTTCAAGTAATTCTGATCATAAATATTTTTTTGGATTGTATTATAACGTGTATATAATAAAACGTGTATAAAAAGTATGTCTATGCCTATGTCACTCTCCAGCCCTCCAAGTATCTCCATACTAAAAATTATGCCAATCCATCACTCCGTTTCGATGTGAAAGAAGGACAAGCAAACAAACACACTTTCACATTTATAATATTAAATAAATAAATAATAAATACATAAATATGTTGGGACTTTAAGACACAGCGCCATCTAGTTCTATGGTAAGCTACGAGGCTTGTGTTATGGATACCAGACAGTTGGTACACTACACATATATAACTTTAAATACATACATATTATAAATATAAATAAATAAATTTATAACATTAAGTATGGAACTAAGTATGGATTCAGAATTGAAATGATAAAATTTATAATATATTTTTTTTACAAACTATATTTAAAATACTATATTTAAAATACTATATTTAAAAGAGCAACTGTTGAGTTTCTCGCCGGTTTTTCTCAGCAGAACTGCTTTCCGAGCCGGTGGTAGCTTCGTCACGGACTGACTACACTGATGCTTTCATTAAATTGACGAATTAAAAGTACTTGTAATAAGTCTTATTGAATAAAGTTTATTTCATTTCATTCATTTACATTTGCATTATATCTGTAATTTGTTTTAATTCAATCGGTTCATAAATAAAAAAGTTATGTCAATTTACAGAATCTACTTGGGATGAACCCGAGTGAAGCGAGCGTGTGTCCTAGTAGACAAATAAAAGCCTGTAAAGTATGTACTTATTTAATATTTTTTTTGTTTCGAAGGGTACTTCCCAGATAGTCCCATTTAAATTTTATCGAAATCGGTGGAGCGGTTTTTAAAAATTCTACAATAAATTATTTTTTTAAATAAATTGCTTAATCGAATATGTTATTAAAAAGTTTCTTCTTACAAATTACCTGCTTATTACGTCTAAACTAAAAATAGAAAAATAAAAACTTAAAAAAATAATACCGACTTCCAGGCACTAAAATGTAAAAAATAACTAAACGGGAGTTATTTATCATTTAGAATAGAAAGTATTATATTTTTATTAATTATCTATTTACTATTGTATTGTAAAGACATAAAAATAATTGTTGAATAATTTTCGAATTTTCCTTACCTACTTTTATCTACACAGGGGCCAGGGGGCTTATGTACCCAGGGGCTCTGACTATGTATTATTCATTTATTATTACGTACGAATAAAGATCTTGTTAAAAACTAGTTTCTAAATGAATAAAATCAATGAAATGAGCCCGCGCTCGAAGGTTTTATTAGCAATTATTCAAAAGTTACACTGCTCGTCTTAATTGGATCATTTTTTATACTTCTTACAACTCTTTACGTGTTAAACCTCTTCAAACTATCTCGCAATCAAGTATATACATACGACTTTTTTTTACGAAGTAGATCAATTGCAGTTAAACCCACCTGGAAACTAAACAGTTCAGATGTGATGACATATGGTACGGGCTGGTAGCCGGCCGCGTCCGCGAAGATGCAGAGGCACATGGCAACTACAGGCAACCAGCCCGGCAACCACACGCTGAGTGACGTTACGTAGAACCATCCACCGAGAGCCAGCATTGACAGTCCCGTGGCGAAGGATGTCCCTGCTAGAAGCCACTGTTGGGGAAATTTGGGTTTTAGGAGTCATAATTTGCCTTTAGCTTTTTGTAGCCAGATGGCAAAAAAGAAAAGTTCCTCAGTGCGTTCCTGATATAAGGCACTATTAGAATAAGGCTAGGCTTGAATGTTTACTTAAAAAATCATTGCAAATGAAAATTTATTTAAAAAAAAAATGCTTTTAATTTTTAGTTTTGGTAAATATTAATTAATTAATACACCTAGAAGTAAATTTATATGAGAATCAAGAAAAATAACTTAATAAGTAGTTCATATAATAATATTTAAATTATTTTACCTTTCTACCAGTTTTTTCAACGATGCAACTCGCCACAATGGATCCTAAGAGCTGTATAACTCCCACTACGATTGTCTGTTTATTGGGGCTCAACTTCAAGCTGATAGACTCTGAAGCCTGTTCAAATATGGACCCCGCATACATGAGAACGACTAGATAGCCGCATGTTTCTTGTGAGAGCATCACGTTAACGGCGATTCTGAAGGCTTTGAATGTTGTTTTGTCTTGCACTAGAGAAAAAAAATGTGTTGCGATTATTTTTATTTAAATGTATAAGTTATATGAGTGTATATCTTTATGTCTATACTAATATTATAAAGAGGAAAGATTTTTTTTGTTTGTACCAAATAAGCTCCGAAACTACAAACAGATTTATATGAAATTTGGTAATAATAGAAAATAAAAAGTATATATATAGTAAGTAAGTAGATAGTATTTATCCCGGAAATCATCCCTTAAGGGGTTGAAAATGGGGATGAAATTTTGCATGAGGAAACAACCTAGGGACTAACTAACCTAGTCGGTCACTCACTCAGTGAGTCGCTAGTTTAGTATAAAAGTAAAACGAGTGAAGTTATTGCAACAAATTTTATTGAAAACTAGCAGTACCCGCGCGGCTCCGCGTTTAAACTTCCGATCGCTACCAAACTTCACAGGTAGCTGGTCTAATCTGAAGATCGTCTGAAAATTTCATCAAAATCGCGCCAGTCATTTTGGAGGCCATATTAAACATATGTACATATAAAGTGTTTTTTATATATGTATATAGAATACTCTACTTAAGTCAATACTTAAAACAATTAGCGACATTTGTTTTTTGTGGTTTGACATAAATTAAAATTTGCACTATACGAGTATATTTTTTTGTAGAAATTATTGTAACGTGTTCGTTAAACTGGTTTAACGGAAACGGAATTAAACTCATTTTTTGGGCTTCAATTATCAATATCAATTATATAGTTAATATATATTATGTAGATTACTTTGAGTTGTACCTATAATTTATAGATTAACCACTTTGATCAAAAACAGACCTGTTATAAGAAGAATTGGTGGACGACAAAATAAAAATAATTCGGGGAAACACAAATTATTTTATTAGTTTGTGAGGTGTTGGTATTTTATTTTCGTATTACGTCATAATAACCGTCAGTAGCATTCCTTAAAAATTAATATAACCATTTTAAAAATGGTTTTAGTATTTTTGAAATATTTTATGTTATAAAATTATGTTCTCTGTGCGATTAATTTTCTAGGAATATTTGGTTCACATTAACTTAAGTTTTTTTTATCGATATTTTTTAAGTTGATATATCTAATTGATTGAATTGTACTGATTATATAAATAATTACGTGTATTTTAAACGTTTGCGAGTTTAACTAGTATGTTTTATGTACATAGCGATTAACTCCTTTTTGTAACATTTAATGCATTTCGCATTTATAAGGCATACCACCTGCATACAGGTGGGTATGTATATATACCCAAAAGAAGTTAAAAGGCCAAGAGAGAAATTATATTTTTTAACTTTTTTGAGAGTTTTTTGTGTCGGGGGTTACTTAAATTTTTTTAATTATATTTCTATTCTTCAACAATTGTAAAATGACGTCTTGATCTCGTCTGGGGGCTTAACACCCAAATTTTATGTGGGCGCGCTAAATTTATAAACTGTAGCTGTACTTACCAATACTTTTCCAAGAGGCTTTCTTCGTGCTCCTAGCGTATTCCTCCTCCCTCTCCATGATTTGAACTTCTTCCTCAAGGTTCTTGTCATCGATTGTCGTGTTCCGCAACCATGCGAGCGCAGCGCGGGCTTCCTAAAACAATAAAACATATTTTTTAGTATTTCTTCATTTCCAGCGGATATCGTGGAGTTGTACTCTGTACTAGCTTCTGCTAGTGTATTTAACCTGTCAATTTTTTTTTCTTGTTTTTTTTCAAATTTACTGTTTTTCCAAAAAAGTAGATGAAAGATTTAATATATTAACCCTAATTCTTTTTCTTAAATAAAAGTAGCCGATGTTACTCCCTATAACATCAGCTATAGTTCAGTGAAAGTCCCGTCAAAATCAGTCCAGCTGATTCAGAGACTATCCGGAACAAGCAGACAGACAAAAATAAAAAAAATGTGTTTTTTTTGTATACGTACCGTATATAATTTCATATGCATTAAGTAAAACGCTGTTATTTTGACAATACAAACAGACAGTTCAATTTTATTTGTCTGTATAGATTTAGTTCAGTACTAGAATGTTGTTCAAGTAAAAATAAAGATAAAATATTATTCCAAAAGGACGCAATTTCGGGAGAAATATGCGTTAGTACATATCATGGTCTATAATTTGCTTAGTTTTATTTAAATCTGTTTAACGGTTTCCGTGTGATTAAGAAAGTTTTTTGATTTATATTTTTTTTCTCATACTTTAAATATAATTACGGTTTAATTTTATAATTTTAATGAACTAAATGACCGACCGCAATTTTCAGTTATTCTGTCTACGTAGGTAATACGTACGTACAAGCAAGCTAGTGATTAAATATATCCTGAGAATTGCTTTACAACTTATTTTTCCATAAAGAATAATATATAAAATACTTGTAATAATAAACCATTTAGTCTATTTGCGTGACATACATATAGTATATTATAATTGTTGGTTCGAACATTAAGCTTAGATTACACAATGTAGACTTAATATTTTACAAAAGCTAAGACCTTTTTTACAAGTTACTTTCTTATTTGACCACTTTACTTATTTTAATAACAATTCAAACTTATTTTAATTTATTAAATAATACTAAAACTTATCTGTACATATTTTGCTAAGCTAATCCAAAATACTGACCCGATTTCGATAAAAAATAGAGATAGCATGCATTCCTGTTACGGACACTTACTAGATACTTTAAATTATCTATTTAATGAACAGTGACGTATTATTATTTAGTTTATATTTGAAGTAAATCTAAGAAAAATAAGGTTTTATATTTGAAAGATAGGTGTTATTATCACATATAGTACTATCCAGATTCAAATAGAATTAGGTATATAGTAATCATCTCATAGGTGGACTAAAAATTGCGCCTTAAAACACATACAAACCAAACCTCGCAAAAGTAATAAAAAAAATTCAATATCCACTGCTAGGAAGGGGCTTCATCTTGCCAAAAGATGACTCCCCATGAGTTTTGTAAATTAGTTAGGTTCTTTACCATATTAGCTAATGGTAATCTTAACATCGAAATTATAATGGCCCAAAAATCTCAAAGGTACAAGACCCGAGGTTGCTCCAAATAGGTAATAAATTTTTAAATAAGTTGAATTGGATAAAATAATATAAAAAATATAGGTTTCAATATTTCCTAGTAAGTCAAAGTTATGCAAGAGTTATGTAGTAGAACCTGGTTGAATTCCAATGGTATTATAATTTATAAGATAGTGCAGCAAATAGTAGAAAGGCACGTAGTAGTCAATATAAAATTATATTATAGTAACTAGGGACTCACCCTCGCTTCGCTTCCGGTTCGTCCCTAGAAAAAAAATAGGTATGTCCCACGGGAACCGTAACTTTTTCCGGGATGATATATAGCCTTCCTCAATAAACGGGCCATTTAATGCAAAAAGAATTTTTCAAATCGGATTAGTAGTTCCTGAGATTACCGCGTTCAAACAAACCAACAAACTCTTACTCTTTATAATATTAGTACCTATAGGTCTACCTATACCTATTATTTTAATTTATTATATTATTTATAATAAATTAAAATATTTCGAAATTATTTATACATAATTTTCCACTTTCGTAGGAATAATTGACTATTTATTATTAATTAAAATAATTAAGTGGAAATATACGAGTAATACGAGTTGTATTTAATTGACAATGAATAATTTATTTTATTTAATTGTATCACTATAATATTCATAAGTATGAAGTACTTATTAAAGTTTTGATTCAAGACGATATTGTTAAAAATGTAAAAACCTAAATGAATAACTTAAATTTATTATTTAAAAAAAAGCAAACTCGCACTTAGTGTGGTGGATTATACCCTGTTCCCTCCCGTATTGAAGGGAGGCCCTTGCCTGATAATGGAACGAAAAAGCCAGAAATTATTAAAAAAGAAATATTCATATAAAAAGATAAATAAAGAAAAATACATTTACTGCGTATTCAATATCGTAATGAAATAATTTTTTTTTATAGTCACACGACAGTCGTCATTAGGGTGGAGCGATAAATTTTTTTTTCTTAGCTTGTGGGTAGAATTTGTACCTTATAAAAAAACAAAATGTTTGAAAAAGAAGAAGAAATTACTCAAACTTCTGAGGCGGGCCACTGATTTTTAAAATAAATAATTTGAATTTTTAGTTCGAATAGATTTTTTTTCGATCATCTTTGAAAACATTCAAGAAATGACGAATTTCACAATACATACACAATAAAATTAAAATAATTTTTAAATAAAAATATATACAAAATAAATAAAAAATATTCCCTTAAAATTAAGGAAATATTAGTAACTTTTAATAAACGCTTCTCAAATTCTTATGTTGTCTATGGTTTATACAGTCACAATTTTAAGTACCTATGCTTGTAATAATCGGGTCAAGGCGAGCTGTTACTAATCGATCTAAGAAATTATTATCTCAGCTGAACATATAACAATATTTACATTTTAATATTTTTGATTGAAAATAATTTGGGAGATCAAATTTTTTTCATATGTGGAATTTCTTTAAAATAAAAATAAAAGTGTGTGTGTACTTATGTACGCACGTAAGCAGTTATACTTTTTTGACGTAACAGAACAAAAATAACTAAAGATTTCATCCCGTATGTCACAACTCTCTGTTTGTAAAAGGAATGCACCTAACTTCATCATGTCGCTTTCAGCTAACTTCATCATGTCGCTTTTCGGTGTACGCGCGCACCGTAAAAATTTGACTCTCATATTTTTTTCCAAATGTGCCAAAAGAAGTAACTTCAAAAATACATTATAACCTGGCCTTGGAGTCGGAGTATAGAAGTAGTTACAGTGCTAATAAATGTAGATTCTATTTTTTTTAAAGTAAATTATTCTTCAACGTAATCTTTTTGTACAGATCCAAAAATTATATGCGGAAATTTTCCTCCCGACCGATTTCGGCCATGGCGGCCAATCTCACAGAAGCTAGCCATTTGCACAGGAGATATTAAAGCGCACAAGTAAGTATATACGCGCAAACACTGCTCCCTCCTTCCTTATACTTTCAAAATCCGGTGGAATGACAATTCAACATAGCCAGTGAGAGATCAGGCGTAGGACCGACAGATTTACGTGCTCTCCAAGACACGAGGATAAAGTACCGCCAACTTCCCAATTCTGACCTTCCAAGCTGTTACTAAGAATTTCTTGATAAACACTAATTATGGCCCGACTCAACGACTGACGAGGTAGTTAAAAAAACAAAAACGAAAGTTTCATTACGTGTTTTCCTTATGAATTTTCTTAGAAATAAATTATTTTATTTGAAAGGTGCTATTTATATCTTGTAAAACTTGTTATAAAAGTAGATTTCATTATATATTACGAACACCGGCCCGACGATTTATTCGTCATATGTATGTAATTATATATATGTATATATAATATCTACTGATTTTTATTTATCCTGATTCATCACGCAGATTAAATGGATAAATGAAAGCACTAAAATTTTGACAGCTTATTCTTAAATAGACATAGGTGAAGTCAAGGAGTATTTCGAAGAAATCTTGGGTAAAGTAATAGAGGATTTATTGAAACGATCCGATTGGGATATTTGTATGGAAAATAATATTTTTCAGTCATCATATTAATAAAGTAGCAATGAAAGGAATTAAGGAGTTTTGGCCGAACCCGAACCGAATTTGAGGTATTATTCGGCTGCTGTTTAGTATACGGGACGCGGCGTCTGAAGGAGTGGGTGGTATTATTATGTAAAAGGTCCGATTAAGATAACGTTTGTAGGTTGAAAAGGCTAAGGCGCAAGAGAAACATAGCGTTGAAATCGTGTTTGGTCGGTAACATATATATTATCAAAAATATTTTTAATTTAATTTTATTTCAAAAAGCTTCACCGGCTCAAATTTGTTTGAATTATTCATCAAAAGAAACTTGGACTTTTAATATACTTATTAATTTCTTAGAATTTCTCTGATTTGGAATCGATTATCATATAATTAACAGCCTCTATGTATCTGCGCATTCATATTTTTTCTCACTTATTGAGAAAGGCTATAATAGTTGATATATTATCCCCGAAAAAAGTACGGCTCTCGTGGGATATATTTGTTTTTGTCTAAGGTTCGGTGAGTCACTAGTTATAAGTTTAGTGCTTAGTCATAGACAAAATTATTCTTTGACATAAAGTAATATATAACAATAGCAATTTCCTGGATTATAAATTAAAAGATGTCTACAAAAAATACACAATATATAAATAATATGAAAACGTTGAATTTTTGATATTCATTTGGGTAAATTCGTTTATTATTTCTCAGTGCTTGTGCCAATATTTAAGGCATTAAAGAATCTTTTATATATAAAAATATTTACATAATGTACAGATAAGGCTTAGTTACAATTTTATTATATGTATAGATATATGAATATAAATAAAAAGATTTGCGCGGAAAATTCCACTGCTGAGTTAAGAAGTATGTAGGTAATAACTGTACTGAATGTTTTTTATTTATACTTACAAAGAGTTAACCGACGAGCGTCTTAAGTTTTTTAATCTTACTGTAAGACCCTATTCTTTTATTGAATTTAATTAACGTCAAGAAACATGGAGCTTTTCATTTGCAAGTAAAATTGTATTTTAAACTAGCATTGCCCACGGCTCGGCTCGCGTTCAGATAACCAAAAATCAAATTCTTAGGTTTTACATTGCAGTTTTTGTATTTTTTCACAGAAATAAGACAATTTCCCGCGGTAATATATAGCTTTAACTTTCCTTCCTCCAACAAACAAACTCTGCCTCTTTATAATCTATACATATAAAAAACTTGTAACTAAGCCGAATCTGTACATTAAATATTTTTTGGAAAATCTTATTGAAATAGACATTATTGTCGATACAGAGGCCGAATCTATAGTTTTTAGAATTTTTGTCTGTCTGTCTGTGTCTGTCTGTTACCACATCACGAAAATACCACTGGAGGGATTTTGATAATATTTGGTATGATGATAGCTTGTTATCCGGGTCAACATATAGGATACTTTTTACTGCGGGAAAATATCTCGTCTCTGATTTATACTAAACGTTAAAACTGTGTAATTATAAATCTTGTTATCGAAAATTGATTTTACAGTTTTTTACAATAAGTTATAATATAAAATTTACTTGTACTTACAAATCGAACCCAATTTTATCTGAACAATAATCAATAATTATGAATAATTAATTTCTATTTATAGCTAACGGAACACACATATAATATAATTACATATTCATAATATACCTAACAAATAACTAATATACTACATATTATAATCGGCCAAAATGTCAATGACAACATAATTTCGTAACTTTTTTCCCCACCAATTGGTGGAGTTCCCGAACTAAATTATGATGGACATTTAATTACGGGTAGATTGGAACCAATAAACTTTCTAATGAAATAAAGCCTTGCATTTTCCGCTTACGCTTTAATTGCTAGTGGCAACAAGAAAGAAGTACCTATACTTCTTACGGATCGAAACGTCGGTATGAAGCAATAAAGCTTACAGATTTAAAATGATAAAATCGCCATTTTAATGATTTAGCGTAAGCGTAGATTAAACTAATAAATTAATTAATCAACGTTACGACATACATTAATATTTCATACTACAAAAACCATTTTATTTCTAAACTAGCAACTCACATTCGCTCCGCTCGGGTTTGTCCCTCGATACATTTTAAAGGTTAGTATTTCTCAGAGATGAGATATTTTCCCCGGTTGGCCCGGATACCCAGCTATCATTATACCAAATTTCATTAAAATCTGTCCAGTGTTTTTCTCGTGATACGTCCAGACAGACAAACAGATAGACAAAAATTCTAAAAACTATAGATTCGGCCTCTGTATGGATAATAATGACTATTTTAATAAGAATTTCCATTTCCATTTTACATTTAAAAAAATAATGTACAGATTCGACTCAGTTAGAATTTTATTATAATTATAAAATATGGATATAGACTATTAATTTATTAAATCTCTTACCTTCACTTTTCCTTGCTTGACTAGAAATACAGGAGTTTCAGGCATAGCCATGAACACTAACATGTGTAGGACGGGTATAGCAGTGCAAATCCACATGACCGCGTCGAAGGAGAACACGTCGCCTGCCACGTATACTATGAGGTAGCCGAGATTTTGCGATAGTATGAACAGAGATCCGAGTGCACCGCGTATCTTATCTGAGGCCACCTGCGTTAAGAATTTAAATTTTCATTAAATTTTCTAAGGAAAGAATTTTCTTGACGACACGTTTGGCTCAGTTCGTAGTGACCCTACTTGCTGTGCCAGTGGTCGAGGGTTCGAGCCCCGCTGGGCGCATTCATTTGTGTGAAGACGATTGTTTGTACTCCAGTCATCGGTGTTTATATTTATAGTATGTATATATTTGAAGTTATATATGTGTAGTGTATCAACTATCTGATATCCATAACACAGGCCTCGTAGCTTACCATGGAACTAGATGGTGCTGTGTGCTAATGTCCCGACATATTTATTTTATTTATTTATTTATTTTTATGAATATTCGCTATAATTTTGTCTATTTAATGTAAAATAAAGTTAACAATACTTCCTATCCTAATAATAAAAAAATTGATCATTTGTGTTATATTAAAAGGACAATCTATCTTGCAATTGAGGCAAGTAAAGCAAGCTGACCAAACGGCCAAATTTTCCGGTTTGGGTTCCCGAAATAGATTATAATGACACGAATTCCTAGTAGGTATGTTACTGGTAATAATTTAATTCAAGAGTTCGCAGGTCACATACATTACTTGTTACGAATCAATAGTAACTTATTATATTAATTTTACTTATTATCAAACATTTTAATAAACAGTGTAATAAGTAAGAAAAAATAATTCTAGTTGTACAACAATTATTTTATAGACTACTGACCTCTTTTAAATATAGGGGAGTGACGACGTAGCAGCCAGCGCAAGCGAGCCCCGCGACGGCACGTGACGCTATCAGTGCCCAGGGACGGAGAGAGAAGAGTGTGATGACCCAACTGATCTGTTAAAGACATATTTATGAATAAGATATATTAATATTCTTTTATCTATATAAGTCTATGCCAAAAAGAAAAAGAAGTCTATTCCAATTTAGCACAATACGTTTATCGTATGTCATATTATTTAGAATCAGGTGTTTTCTCTCATATTTGTGGTCGACGCCGCAAGAATCCTCTTGTAGATATATAAGGATAAACATATAAATAGCTAAAATAATATTTAACTTAAAAGTCTTTACTTAGATTTACACGACTATTTGATATTTTACCGCGGATTTATTGTGATTTTTGGTCTTGATGTTGTTTTTCCCGTGACCATGTTTGCTGTAAAGCATTCGAAAGCGCGTCCGGAACGATCAAAATAAGTAAAATCAAAATAAATCTACTAAAAAATATAAAAGATCTATAGTTTTATTTAAAATGTAAAAAATACATTGTAAAAATTAAAACACTCAACGTGAGGTTATAGTGTAATTACTAGAGTCGTACGTATTAGAAACGTGAAATATAGCAATTCTCTAGTAGAGAGCGGCTGTTACTGCTTGTCTGACGAGTGGCAGGTACCTTGATATACGAGTATGTGCACAATCTAGTTTGTAACGAATGTAAGGAAAATATATTTCCTACTTATTTATAAAAGAAACAATGTTGAACATTTATTGTAAGTTCTATACTAAATCATGTATGTATTAAAAAGGTTTTTTATAAAATTGCAAAATGTCTGTTTTTTTAGAAGCTTGAGTTATCTCAAAACATTAGTTTATAATTGGCTGATAAGCTTACCACTAGCATTAAAGAAGTAAGCATGGTTGTGGTCTTCCTCCCCCAACGGTCAGCCAGGTCTCCCACAAAGACACCACAGAAGATCGGGGGGAGGAAGGTAACTGACGCCATCCATGAGATGGTTTCGTCTGTAATCGGTTCTGGAGCCGGTCCGCCTTCTGCTTGCAGGATTGGTGTCATGGGGGATTGCCAGCCCATTAGCATTCCAAAATTGAGGACTGGCACAGTTACTATAAATAAAAAGGTATTTTTTTAAGTTAGTTTATAATGATAGTAATTTTTATTTACAATAAAGGAAATTACAAATATACTTCATATTATATACAAAATAAATGTACACTTAATTATTACTGTACAAGTCATGTCCGCGTGGAATAGACGAAAATTTAAAATTATTATCATTTATAAATGATTTTTAAATGCAAAAAAATAATTTATAAATGATATCAATGTTTCGAAAAATGTATCTACTAGTTAAGCATTTCCGATAACGCGAAGTATTTTTTTTCCCGCCCTCCGAATTTTGCCGCCCTGGGTACTAGCCCCGAGTGCCCCTAGTGTAAGTCCAGCGCCGACATTATCTAACACTTCTGAACTACATTTAAATTTTGTAGAATACCTACTGTACCTAATAAGTAAAAGGTTAACTTAAAAACTTTATTTACAAAAAAGAAAATTACAAATATACTTAATTAAATATACAAAACATGTGTACACTTAGTTATTACTGTACAAGTCATGTACGCGTGGAATAGTGGCAAGAATGCTAGCCGAATTCCCCCGTTGAATGGCAATCCCGATTCTTTGGGCGAAAAATGCGCCAGCCCTTCTGTCACCAGTAGAGGTGATAAGACGGGGTGCTATGTCTTTTAAGAAGAGCTTAGCACTTTGACTCTATAGGCCAAGGGTTTCTACAGCTCCCCCCCAACGTGCGTTCACCTTGTCGTGGTGGGGGGGCTCAGTAGTGTACTCGCGAAGCCAAGAAACGCACAGGGAGGTGGCCCGCTTCGGTGGGCGGTGGGAGGCGGCCTTGTTCGGAGGGTGGTGTGCCATGCGGGTTGCTCCTGGTACTTCTCTGATAGCAGAGTGGACCGTGGAGCAACCCCATGGTTGTTGTGGTCTGCTTCGGCAGACCTGCCGTCGGGGCGTCGTAGTTGAATGCGTAAGCGATCCTGCGACGCCCCATTAAGACGGGAGAAGGTTTTGTTGGGTTTTAGTGGGTAGTACTGGCTTCGCCGGTGAGTCCCACACTTCGTGCGTAAATGCATTTCCCAACGTTAAAAAAAAAAGGGTTTCTACAGCTAATGGAATGAAAACATAATTTTGACTAAGGGTGGTGTATTTACGCAACTTAAGTAGTCCAGCCTTCTCCGCCGCAGCTCCCACTGTAGAAGCGGTCTCCCTGACATGGGACGGGGCCAATGTGTCAACGCATGTAGCGTCCCACAATAGGGCCCGTCCCCTTTCCCAAGGAACCAAGGTTAACTTAAATTAATTTGAAATCGTTTGTCAACCCTTAATTTTTGCAAGTAATATATATTAAATACAAAGTTGTAACAAAAGAAAAAGTTAAAATATCAATTTATTAACCCTGACGCATTTATTCAGCTGTATTCATAACGAGGCTCTACTTATTTCGCGTTTTTTTATATATGTATTATGTTACGAAAGCGATATCTTTTTATCTTTGTATAAATATAAAGAAAAAAAACGCGTGTGTGTGTACTTATGTAGGCACGTAAGAAATTATACTTCTTTGGGGTAACAGAACAAAAATAGCTAAATATTTTATCCTGTATGTCACAAGTCTCTGTATGTAAAAGGAATGCAGCTAACTTCATCATGTCGCTTTTTGGCTGTCGGTGTGCGCGAGCATTGTAAAAATCTTACTCTCATATTTTTTTCCAAACGTGCCAAAAGTAAATAACTTCAAAAACTGTACCCAAACAATTTACTATCAGAATTTTGAAGTAGGTACACACGTGTCCTTTTTACTTAAAAATTATTTAAATTAATTATTATTATTAAGTTATATGAATTTACTGAATCAAGTATGATGAAATTCAGTCTAAATTTAAGTCAAGTTTCGAAGGTGTCTTGATTACCAAGAGCACTTTGAATAAGGATGTGGTCCCACTATGGTATTGAGCACTAAAATTTAGTTTAGGTATCTTTTTAATAGATAGATATTTCTAATGGAACAGTCTTACGCAGTGTCTGAGGGTGGAAATGCTGGTGGCATAACTAAATGCGTTTCATCATTAATTTTAAGTTGATATAATAAAATCTGCGAACTAGAGGTGACTATACAACACGGTGCATGAGATTGGCACATGCATTATAATGAATAATGATCAAACGTCATTTATGTTTATAATTCAACGTGTTATCTTTTCTCATTTAAAATAATATTTGAGTACTTTATACAATGATACATACGATTAAGGTCACTCCGTCTAGATATATATCTACATTTAATACTAATATTATAACGAGGTATAGTTAGTTTGTCAGTTTGTACGTAAGGAGGATACCTACTCAAAATTCTAAAACTACTAATCCGCTTCCGTAAATTCTTTCACTGATAGCAACCTGTATTACCGCAGAGTGCTATAAGCTATTTTTTATTTTAATATGAATAAATTTACTGTCAGAAATCATAATAATTATAATCGAATGGAGAAAAACTTGGCCATCGACTTTTTTTATCAGCTGCTAATAGGCACCTTGGGAGACGCTCGAGCGAAGCAAGGATAAATTGCTAGTATTATACAAAAAATTGTAGGTGATTATCAGCAAGTTTGTTCTTCAGGTTACAGAAATTTGCATTTAACTGTTAATTTTTATTTCTTTTCATTTATATAATTACTTTTTATATATAAATGATATTATACCTATAATGCGCTTCTCAAGTAAACTCTTACCGGAAGTGGTAGTTCAAAAATCTGCAGCTTGCCTTGATTATATCAGAAAGAAACATCTCTCGGTCATTATTCACGAAGACCATGTGTCTATTGTCTATTATTTATGGTATATTCCATTATATCCAATCTACGTAGTCCTGTATGTCCCAACAATCATTTTATTACTAGCGACTTGCTCTTGTTTCATCATGCGGGTGCGCCCTTAGGTAAGTCTTAATTTTTTTGAGAAGAATCTAATTCTTTTTCTAAAATAAAGTTAGTCTAAGTTCCCGTCAAAATCGGTCGAGCCGTTTCGGAGATTAGCCGGAACAAACACAAAGACAGACAGACAGATAAAAAACTAAAAAACTGCGTTTTTCTTATATGTACCGTATACACTTACATATGCATTAAGTAAAAAGCTGTTATTTTGACATTACAAACAGACACTTCAATTTTATTTATTTAAAGCAATATAAACATGTTTCGATCGGAATGGAACTCGTGATTACCACCAATTGTTGTATCATCAATTTCATCTGCCGCAGTATGGCAAGTCGAAAGACAATTAAAATTATTTATGTTCTAGTTGAATCAAGATAAATCAAGGATCAACAGATTACAACCGACATTTATTTGTTTCTTGATTACTCACTCAACTGCGCGAAGTGCTTCGATGAAATTATAATAGATGTTTATATCAATATTAATGTGACAGAGCTAGACGTGTTTAAAACTAAATCATTTAATGCATAGGATGTAGGATATGTCGATAATTGTAATTCTTATTTCCAGGTCTGCATTTCTAAATGTTTATATCACTTGAGCTCTTTTAATGGAAATTTAATGATTGCTAAGTTTAATGATTCTATTTTTTTTTATATTCTTTGATTTTTATCATTTACATATTTTAACATGTTTTTGGTAAGTATATTTATTTATCTTGAGAGATATACATATTAAAACACATTATATATATATATATATATATATATATTATATATATATATATATAAACAATATATGGAAGGGAGGCCCTACATACTTTGTACAGACGTATATGTAATCTATACATATAATAAAATTCTGAGTCGAATCTGTACATAAAATATTTTTTGGAAAATCTTATCAAAATAGTCATTATTATCGATATAGACGCCGAATCTAGTTTCAAAAAATTTTGTCTGTCTGTCTGTAACCGCATCACAGAAAACCCACCGGTGGGATTTTGATGAAATTTGGTATGGTGATAGCTGGTTATCCGGGTCAACATATAAGATACTTTTTACCGCATTGTAAGAATATATAAAACCTAAGAATTTGGTTTTTGGTCATCTGAACGCGGGCGGAGTCGCGGGCAATCCTAGTATAGAATACTTTTGACTGCGGCAAAATATCTCATCTCTGAGAGATTTATACTAACCGTTAAAACATATCTAGGGACGAACCCGAGCAGAGCGAAGGTGAGTCGCTAGTTTAATTCTATTAACGGTGTCATTGTCATCACTATCAATACACTGGTTAAGTTTAAGATATATTAAATGACAGATGTGCACACAATCTTACCATTGCTATAATTAATATTGAAAATATGTATATGTGCGTATGTTCGTTTCTCCTTCACGCTAAAACGGCTGCGCGGACTCGATGAAGTTCAGTGTGCAATGTACATACCTATTATATATACTATGACCTGCAGTAACATACATTATTCAGTTCCGTCTTTACCATAAGGGCAAACGGGGCACGTGCCCAGGGCCCCCATCCTCACGAGGGCCCCCACAAGACAACATTTCCGTTTACAAGGAAATAATAGAATCTCATTTTTTAGTTTATAATACATACATACACTTAATAAATAAATCCAAAATTTTTTTATTCATATTTAAAAAAAATGCGTTCCAACAAATGTGACTTTCCTGCATTAATGACTCTAAACGGCGTTTCATCTACTAATGGAGCTGATATCTGCAATCAATTCGCTACGCATTTCTCAAATGTATACACTTCACCAAATTTAACAACGCATCAATCTTCTAAAACTACAATATCATATCACAATTCAGAATTGACTAGTATAAAAATCCAGGAGAAGGATATCATTGTAAAGTTAAAATGTCTTGATGTAGATAAAGGGTATGGTCCTGATGATATACCTCCCATATTTGTTAAACATTGTGCTGCTTTTCTGGCAAAGCCTTTGTATATAATATTTAATAAATCACTGAGTGACGGAGAATTCCCATGTTTATGGAAAAAGGCCAGAGTAGTTCCTATATTTAAAAGCGGCGATAGGAAGGA